TGTGTGCTGCAGGATTTTTTTTATACTGTGCATACTGACCACATAGACCCATTCTTTCATATGTAAGCCTACCAGCTTTCTCTCGCTAGATTTGACGGCGCTAGAATTTAGGCATACTAGTACGTCAATAACCCTGGTGCGTAAGCCGTACTAGTATGTCAGAAACTCTGAAAGGGTTAAGGCATTCCCAATAATTTAAATGCTTTATTGGCTGCAGGCCATAAATGACCGATGTGTTCCAGCTCTGGTATTTCTCTTGCCCTGAATGGGGTCATCAACACCGACCAATATTCTAAATGAGAGAACACATGTAATTTCAAAAGTGTCACCATTGGCACTATTTCCCTTGTTTTGAAAGTTCTCATTATCCATCTGGTCATCTTCCTGGCTGTCGTGACATTGGTTTCACTGTTTTTTGAAAGAAGGGTCAGTTGACATAATTACTCTCTTATCTTTCACATGTTTCTTCCATTCTATCTGATGATCCTCCTTAGTTTTGTATACAGTGTTCCTTTTGAGTTCTTCATTCTTTCCATACCTAAGCAGCTGGAACTTATCACTGGTGAACTTCATGATGTTCTCCACTATCTACTGAAAAAATCCTGCTGGCCACAGGTATGTCAACAACAGGAAAGTCTGGTTTAGAACTGGGCTGAAGGAGCCCAGTTTCATAGGTAAATAACATCTATCGATAAACAAAAAATGGCAAATGTATGCAGGAAAAATCCCGAGAATAGTATAGGCAAAGTGAATGCTGAATAAAAAGTTTCAACTAAAATATTTAAATACTGTATACATCTATAGAATACACTCACAGCCATGACACAACTGGATAAAAACACAATACAAAGTAAGCTTATAAAAAGCCTTAGATTAAATGACTACTGACTACTGGAAGAAAGAAATGCCAATAAAGTTAGGGGACTGGGACTGCACTTACAGTACTGTACTTTTCTACAGTATACAGATACTGTAGTTCACATGTAATAAAATATTGTTATGCACAAAAGAAAGCATTAGAATGAAACTGGCACAGTATTAACTACAAATCCAAATGGCAATAAATAATTCAACTGTGTGTATTATTTGCACTGATATCTGCTCAAAACAGAATAAAGGAATGCCACAACACCTGAGCCTAAGGTTGGACTATAATTTTTTTTTTTTTACAAAAATCAATTTTATAGGCAAAGCCTTTTCTTAAGAATATTATTGAAAAATATCCATACACAGAAAACACAATTACAGTGGACCCCTGAGTTTCGTGATTAATCCATTCCAGAGAGCCCGCTGAAGGTCGAAATTCACGAAACTCAAAACCATTTTCCCCATAAGAAATAATGGCAATAAAATTAATCCGTTCCAGACACCCAAAAATGTTAAAATTAATTTTTTTTTTTCAAATTAAATAAAGATTTACATAATGAAAACAATCAGAAATCAAGTACATGCATTTAAAATAAATAATAATAACATTACACTTACCTTTACTGAAGACTTCTGGGTGGATGGAAGATGGGAGGAGGTGATAGGAGGAAGGTGTACACTATTGTTTGGAAGGAGAATCTCCTTCCATTAGGACTTTAGATAGCAAGTCCTTATCTGGGGTTACTTCCCTTCTTCTTTTAATGCCACTGGGAACAACTTAAGAGTCACTGGATCCCTGGCGCACAAAATATCTATCCAGAGGGGTCTTTTTCTGGCGTTTCTTTAAGATTTCCCTGAAGTGGGACACAACACTGTCATTGTACATGTTGCAGATATGGCTTGTTTCAGCTTGGTCAGGGTGATACTTTTCAACAAAACTTTGCAACTCATTTCACATTCCACACATGTCCTTAATCACTGAAGAAGGCACCTCATCCACTCCCTCTTCCTCCTCCTCTGAAGCAAGTTCCTCGGCTGTGGTCTGATGCTGTTCCAGTTGAAGCTCTTGCAGTTCTTCAGTGGTTAACTCTTCCCTGTGGTCCTCCACCAACTCTTCCACATCCCCGTCACTCACTTTATTTACCAAAGGGCTTGTACTAGCTTTCCTTGGGTCCATGATGACTTATTTAGCAGTTGCAAGCACAAAAAACAATGGATTATTATGAAATGTATTGTATGAACCCGCGGGGTGATGGTCACGTGTTGGTAAACAATGGCACACTGAGCGTGAATGGCGTGGGAGACTGGCTTTGTGTGCGCGGTGACAGGCGGATGGGTACCGGACGGTCGCCGAAACACGAGTTTTTTCACGAAACTCGAGGTCAAATTTTTCCAAAAAAACTCACCGAAGGTCAAATTTCGCGAAAGTTGAGGCTGCCGAAACTCGGGGGTCCACTGTATTAAATATCAGCTTCTGATTTATAATCACAACAGAATATGCTTTACAAGACTAAACATTAGCTGTTGATCTATAAGTACAATGTATTGTATGCATTTACAAGACTGCAGATATCAGCTAATCAACATAATATACTGTGAAACTGTTTATATGGGATACCAAATTTTTCCTAATACCATTACTCTAGGCCAATACCATCAAAATTAGCTGATACCAACAGATACTGATACCATAAACATTGGCCGACATATACCGACATTCAATTTTGGGCCAATACCGGCATCAAGATATGCATCTCATGGCCTGGTAGGCAATGCTCTCACTTCGCACAGTGTGTGTCTGTGGTTCGATCCCCAAGGGTGGAAACACTGGGTGTGTTTCCTTACTCCTGCTGTCTCCATTCACCTAGCAAGCACGTAGATACTTGGGTGTTAGTCAACTGGTGTGAGGAGCATCCTGCAGAACAAGACTGAAGGACCCCCAGTTGAAATAAGACAGACAGTCCTAGATGATGCACTGACTTTCTTGGGTTATCCTGCATGGATAACCCACTGGGGGGTTGAAAATCCAAACAAACTCTTATCTCATCTTAAGCTCATACCCTCCAATACTGATACCATTACTTTTGCATGCCCCTAGTATTAATAAAGTTTGGATAACAAAGTAGCAAAAATTACAAAACTAATAGCTAGTGCAGTACTGGTATAAATTTTAACAAAGAATAAAGTGAGCAAGACTCTTCAACCTTCCCCTTTATACATAGTGGGATTACCAAAAGGTCCCTGGCTGTTTTCAAGAGGAAACTTGATGATATCATTCAAGTCAGTTCCTGATCAGCTGGGATATGGTGCACACATAAGACTGCAAGAGGCTAGCACTAACAGTTTGGTTAATCAGACCAACTTGTAGGTGGCCTAGTTTGGAACTGCCCACAAAGGCATCGACTCCCAAAACCATTTTCAGGTAAGCTGATACAAATGGAGTCAAAGATTCAAGGTTTTCTGCCTTCGAAATTTGAACATAGGACTGGTTTCACTGAAGTTTAATAGTTGATATTTACTGCCAAAACACACGTAATGCATAATATTTAATCACAGAGCATTTACTGTTAAATAATGTATTTTTGTTTGAACCACTTATTTGTACTGTATCAGATTGGATTCTATTTCACTAAGTGATAAACTAGTATGGGCAGCTCAGTGCAAGGTGTTGCTAGTGAAGGCTTCATTCTCTGTCCAATAATGGCAACACAGTCTCTAACCAGTCAAGCTGTATAGAGTATCAGAGTAAAATACTGTACATAGAGTGCATTTTTAGATGTAGTATACTATACAGGACTATATTACTCTCAATCCTCAATATTAAAGTACTATAATTTCAGCACCAAAATAATGTTCCTGGTCCTGATACATTGTCCTTGACTGTAAATGTAATTACACAGTGACAGTAGGTCCCTGAATTTCGGTTTCACTTATCAGCTCAAGGGAACCGACTTGATAAGATAGTTATGGAAGGATCGTGGCCTGGTAGGCAAAGCTCTTGTGCTGAGGGTCTGAGTTCAATTCCCAACAAGGGTGGAAACATTGGGCATGTTTCCTTACACGTGTTGTCCATGTTCACCCATCAGTAAAATGGGAACCTAGGCGTTAGTCGACAGGTGTGGGTCGCATCCTGTGACAAAACTGACTTAATTTGCCAGAAATGCTCTGCATAACAAGGAGCTTTCTATATAGTAGTCATTGATGTCAGTTAGACCTGTATATTTTGTACATGTAAAGATATTATATTATTATTATTATTATAAGGATAGCTGTCTTAATAATGTAAGTAAGTGAGAGGAAGCTGTCAAGGTAATTAGGGAAGACTGATCTAACAAAATAGTTAGGGGAGGATAAGCTGCCAAGGTATTAAAAGCAAGTGAACTAACCTAATGATGTAATAAGGGGAAAATAAGCTAATGGAGAACAAGTAAAAATGTAATTACAGAAAAATGAGCTGATTTATAACAAGGTAATAAAAAAGTGAGCTGGCAAGGTGAAAGGAGTGGGAGATGATTTAACAATGTAACCAAAGAGTGAGATAACAAGGTACTTTAAAGGAAAGGGAGCTGACCTAACAAGGTTTGTGAGAGAGAGAATAAGCAGACAAGGTAAGTAATCAAGTGAGCTGACAAGGTAGTTAAGAGGAACAAGTGAAGCAGTTAAGGGTGAGTGAGCTCACAAGATAGTTAGGGGAGAGGAGTAATTAAGGGAGCAGAGATTTACCTATCACTGTATTTAACAAGGTGAACAAACAAGGTAGTTAATAAAAAAGGGCTTACATAAGGTACTTGGTAGTTACAACAAAGTAAGCTGATAAGGTAGTTAAGATAAGAGTAAGCTGACAAGGTAGATAAAAGCTGACAAGGTAGATAAGAGTAAGCTGACAAAGTAGCTAACAAGGTAGTTAAGATAAGAGTAAGCTAACAAAGTACTTTACAGGGTAGTTAAGATAAGAATAATCTGACAAGGTAGATAAGAGTAAGCTGACAAAGTACTTGACAGGGTAGTTAAGAGTAAGCTGACAAAGTAGTTAAGGGTGAGCTGGCAACGCAGTTAGGGAAGAGGATACATCGCTAACAAAGCAGTTAAGGGAGACAAGAGTTAAGAAGATAGTTCAGGTAGAGTAGACTGACCTGGAACATCAGGCGGCAGGCCAGGTCTGGGTCAGTCGCAGCTCTGGTCCTGTTCCTGTAGAAGTCGACGAAGTACTGCCGTGGCAAGAGTGTCAGGGTGCCATAGCTGCCACTGGCACTCACGTTACCCCTCAAGCTCGTTATATTACCCAAGATGAAACCCTCAGTCAATTCTTTATCGTGTGGAGTCGTCTTTTGGAAACCAAATTTAGTTAGGAAATGAAAAAACTCCTCATCCGTCCTCCATATTCCCTTAATGTGGAGGCCACAAGCGCACTGCACAGCGTATATACTTAGAACAAAAGCAGTCACTATTCTAGTACTATTTGGGGTTTCTAGCAGCATATTTATCATAATAAATCAACACATTTCTAGCACTAGATACAACACATCCTCCCACGATTGCTTCCAATGATCGACTAACTTATACCATATGATAATCTCGCTTCAAAATTATGTCTGTCGACGTCACATGTCATTACATATGTTATACTTCTGTTAACATTTTGTATATCATTTTCATCAGGTCATACATATGCAGAAATTCAATATTATTATGGAAAATTATACTCTGGTGTTCGATTGCAATGAAGCGTTGGGAAATATGCTTCCTAGTTAATTATAAAAACATGGTGCATATTTATTTATGGCTGTATATTATTTAGTTATTTATAACAGTAGAAATTAAGTCATATATATTGGTACGAATAAAAATAATAAAATATAAAATATATCAAGAGATCTAGAAGAATCGGACGAGACATGCAAACACTAAATGATACACTCCATTTAATTATTATCCAGTTTTTCCTACTAATATATTTCCCTTCAGGATCCTTGATGCTAGTGAAGAACCCATGATCTGAGGAATTATACCTTCCTTCCCCTTCCTCGTATCAACCCTGATTATTTTTCATTCTCCGGGCGTTGTATAACCCTTACAAATTTGGCACCTACCCATTATTTAATTTGTTAGGTTATCCTAAGTTAAATACAGAGAATTCATCACCAATGTCTCCATATAACAATGAAGAACTTATTGCAGTCGGTATATAAATGCATAATAATTTCTGTAAAAAAAAAAATGAAAATAAGTCACTGACTTTTTGGGGGTTATTCTAGGGGAATTTACAGTATGTTTGATAATTGTGCTTTTATATACCTGTACTAAGAGTTGTATTGATTGCGTAAAAAACTTGTATTTAATCTTATGTCTTATTTAATTTAAGTTAATCTAAGTACTCGAAAGTAAGTCTGAGTTGTGTTGGAGGTGCACAACAAAGGCGAATATAACTTGGTTGTCAGTGGTATGGTGGAGATAAATGGCATAAAATGTAGACAAGATGAAAAAAAGGACACAAATGCTGTCTAATAAGTCACTCTGCTGACTTTTTTGGGTTATCCCAGGTTCTCTACACATATGCTGCTATGTATGAAAATCTCTGTAACTGTATTTGTGCATACCTGAATAAACTTACTTACTTACTTACTTACTTACTTACTTACACGTGGGCTTGCCAGGACGGGTCCTGGCCCGGGTCTTTTTACTTTTTCCGTCAGTGGCTCCCGCAGGAGTGTAGTTGATACAAGTGATATGCAATTTACATCCCTATGGCAGGGGCACGGAGAGCATTCATGTCAAGTGTAGTACCATATATATACGTGAGTAGAAATTGTTGGATATCCAGAAGTTCTCGCTTCGCACACTGAGGGTCTGGGTTCGATTCCTGGCAGGGGTAGAAACATTCGAAGCGTTTCCTTACACCTGTTGTCCTGTTCACCTAGCAAGTAGGTACCTGGGTGTTAGTCGACTGGTATGGGTCGCATCCTGGGTCAAAATTGACCTAATTTGCCAGAAATGGTCTGCATGACAAGGGGCTTTCTATATAGTATTATGTCACTGATGTCAGCTAGGACTGTATACCTTGTACATGTACCTGTAGAAATAAAATTTATTATTATGTAGCACCAGGTCTACCGGCCCATGCTGGGCAGGTCTTTCTCCAATCAAACTTCTTTTCAGTCAACTTCAACATTCCTCTCCTGATCATTCACGTCACTATGCTCCCTATATATACTCATGTACTCTCTGCTCAGATAGATCTGTTTTTGACTTAATAAAGCCCAATGTGTGGGCGAAACGTTGTCAACCAAGCATCGCACCTTAACCTAAATAACCACATTGGAAATTAGTCACTTTATCTGACTTTTTTGGGGTTATCCTAGGTAATTTACACGTTACTTATGTATGATAATTCGTGTAATGTATCTATGTGTGCCTAGTTATGAGTAAGTAAAGTAAGTAAAGTAAGTAAAGTAAGTAGAGTAAGTAGAGTAAGTAAAGTAGGTAAAGTAAGTAAATAAGTAAGTAAAGTAAGTAGAGTAAGTAGAGTAAGTAAAGTAGGTAAAGTAAGTAAATAAGTAAGTAAAGTAAGTAAAGTAAGTAGAGTAAGTGGAGTAAGTAAAGTAGGTAAAGTAAGTAAATAAGTAAGTAAAGTAAGTAAAGTAAGTAAATAAGTAAGTAAAGTAAGTAAAGTAAGTAAGTAAATAAGTAAGTAAATAAGTAAGTAAAGTAAGTAAAGTAAGTAAAGTAAGTAAAGTAAGTAAAGTAAGTAAAGTAAGTAAAGTAAGTAAAGTAAGTAAAGTAAGTAAAGTAAGTAAAGTAAGTAAAGTAAGTAAGTAAGTAAAGTAAGTAGGATTAGTCTGCCTGAAATGCCTGACTAATCTCAGGCATTCTTTGTACCTAACAACAGTTTATAAAATGTAAATCATACACTGTAACCTTTGCAAAGAAATAAAAATAATATTGTACTGTGTTAAGTAAACATAGGTTGCTGTGGACTGAGAGTTGTGTTGGTAGTTTAAGCGACCAGCAGAGGTAAACAACGTTGTGTTGGTAGTTTAAGCGACCAGCAGAGGTAAACAACGTTGTGTTGGTAGTTTAAGCGACCAGCAGAGGTAAACAACGTCACACTCACGGGATTCTCTCAGCCTTAACAAAACATTTTTTTAAAGGAAGCTTCTTTTCCGTTTCCTGTGAGTTTTGTGCTTGCTATTGCCCAGTCTGGGATTTCTAGTGTGACGTTGCTGTAGGATCTGCATGCTAGGGATCTCCTGGTTGGATGACAAAAGTTTTTATCCCCGTATTTGAACTTAGTCACAGATAGACAAATAGATAGTTTTTAAGGGCAGTCGTCAGGAGAAAAAACTTCTAAGTGGACATATCCTGAGGAAGAGAAAATAGATTTTTTCAGGTTAAGTTTAATTTTTGTTTTACTAATGGTTATTTATAGTAATGCTGTTATTTATTCCGGGTAAACCGTGCCGAATCATAGGATAACTCGTAGTAAATTGCAATAGTTTTTCAAACCTGTATTTTCTGCTTTTTTTAGGCCCTTGAGAGAATTATTTTTAAAGAATCGACCAAAATCCCTGTAGAGGAACATATTTTTAGGGGGCAGTTTGCTGGAACCTTGATGTTGGTGAGGGGCTCTTGATTTAGGGAATTGGATCTGTGCTCCAGTTCCCCGAATTAAGCCTGAATGCCTTCCACATCTTCCCCCCCAGGCGCTGTATAATCCTCCGGGTTTAGCGCTTCCCCCTTGATTATAATAATAATAATTTAACAAATCTATGTAAAATATTATATAGTATAGCTACAATATAAACTCGTTAGTTTCAAATTATTTACAGAATCTAAATGTAAGCTTAATAAAGTGGAAAATGCCATTGGTTTATTTGAATGATTTAATATTAGTTTATATATGGTGAACAGTGTTTTGGACTGCTGCCTGACAGACCATAGTTTTGAGGTCACGAAAAACAGTTTGAATTATTATAACCATTTATTATACAAAATAGCTAATAGATGACAGCAGGGGACAAGAGCTAGTTGCACTGCCTTATTTAACTTTTTTTTTTTTTTGCCTTCCCCTTAATTATCTGCCTATCCACAAGGATGTGTTCTAGGTTTTATTCCATCTGACACTTAACAGCCCCCTCTATACTGTTTATTATATCATTACAGTAACAAACAGGATTAATCTCATAAAAAGTGTTACATAGGTATTACAAACTGAGCGCACATACGGACTTATACTGTTAGGAATGAATGCTACAATTGTAGTAGCAAGGACTTGAGCAGTTTCAAAATATCTTTCTGTATCCATAAAACAACAAAATATAACTTTAAACTTGCCCCCCCCCCAAGTACTGTAATGGTCTTTCTCTTTGCATTTAGACAAATATCACCTTACCTCAAAACTATTATTTTCAGAAGGAAAATAATAGTTTGAGAGTTCATTGATTACCTATCTATTGATTACATGTTGATGGTTTTGGGGTTCACTGGTCCTAGGACAGGCCTGATTGCTGGCCTGATAATTCAGACTGTTGGTTCTAGCAAAACACAGTCAACAGAATCACCACAACCTAGCTGATTAAGAACTGTCTGGAGTAGCCAATCAAGTTCCCTTGTTAAGACAGTTATGGGTCTGTAGCATAATAAAATGTTCTTATTAATTCAGACAGGTATTTTATGACCAGTGGAAATAAGTCACTGCCTGACCTTTTTAGGGGGGAAATCCTAGGTAATTTACACATGATACAAGGTATGATAATTGTACTTATGTGTACCTGTACCTAAATAAACTTACACTGCGTTTAGCACTTAACAATGACTCTGTACAGTCAACCCTCAATTTAATGGACCTCGGTTTAACAGGCTTTGGAAATATGGGGCAAAATCCACTGGGCCAGTTCATTAAGAAAGAGCAAAGTCTAATGATTACAGAACTGTCCATTTTTTTTTATGTTCAAGACAAAATACTCTCTCCACCACAATCACCATTACCGGTTGCTGGCTCCCCCTAAATTAGTTTGTTGAATTGAGAGTTTACTGCCACTGGTATCCACCTCAAAATGGTCTTCGGTAACAGCTTGTATGCTATGTAAGATTCTCTGGTAATTTAAATTATAATTATGAATTATCATCAAGATAGTGTTTACTTTGATGTATGCAGAATGTATGTGAGGAAATGAATGTTTTGCATGAGTGAAGAGTAGAAGCTCTTGACTAATGTTGGAACCAAGCTCATGGTAAGTCTCTCTTGCACATCAAGCCTTGATCAGATTTATTAAAATTGCAGCCTCAAACTGTGACAGGGTGGTGCTTTTTGCATTTAGTGGTTGAAAAATTATCAAAGGTTTTGGACAGCTCTGTTGTATTTTCTTAGCAGTCTGTCAGTAGTACATGAATTATGTGCCTCCTTTAAAGTGCATGATAAACAAATTGGGGCATTATTATACCTGTATATTCTGTAATGCTAAGTTTAGTGCTTTTTAATATAATAATTATGTGCTGTACCTGTAATGAAGCCTATTATATTATTCTTTAAATTAGTGTCCTTGCTATTTATGTATTGACAAAAATTAAGAAAAAAAAAGTACGTTGAATTGCAAACCATTCTCATAAAAAGTTGCAAGTCATAGACTTATAGTATGACAATATACAGATATATTTTCAGAGTTGTGCTGAGTTTTGCAAATTATTTATTTCAGGAAATATAGTGGTTGAGGTGCTATATATTAGAAAGGTATAGTGCTGGCATTTGCAAAGACATATCTTTTATCATAGCAGTGCCAGTGTTTACCATGCCTACAGAAAGAACGCCCCTCTTGCCGCGGCATCCCTCAGGTAGCTTATTGGTATCTAATACTTTTCAAGCTTGGTGCATGTACAGCTTTATACCTTGTATCTAAGCATGTGTGGTGTTCTAACAATTTATTTGCCCACAATCTGTGAGTGTGAGGAAGCTTCGTTACAGTGTTGTCTTTTAGAGAGTATGGAAGAAGTTGATAACTTGCCTACTCCATGTTTAGACTGCAATCAATGTTATTATGTCAGTCAATCAGGCATTGCCTTCGTCTAGTCTTTTTCTAAAAAATACTATGTTTATAATAATACTGTGTGAAGAAATTAATCACTTTACAATATGCACCATATAAAAAAATAAGAAAACTCCCATAGTTCAACTATGAGAGGTAGATTATATATCATAAGGTAAATTTACTATACAGTACTATACACTGTACTTGAGGTCTAATTTAAGTTGCTGTAAGCTTGCTACACTTGCGCATTATGAACTATAATGTTCTGTACTGCTTAGAAACTGTAACACTGGTAGCACACAAGTTATGTAATGCTTTGTGAACGAATGCTGTATTTTATATTTTGATGTAGACATTTACTTGTTGTCAACAGTTTATGGTTCTAGGGTTCATCATTGCTGTGGCCTGGTCTTGGACCATACCTGCTGGTTGATGGCCTGATCAGTCAGTGCAGCATTTGTTTATAGGGAGGCCTGGTAAAGGACTGGGCCATGGGGGTGTTGACCACCGGAATACCCTCCAGGTAGTCAGTATCTCAACAATTCTTAGTCAGTTTCTTGAAATTTTGTAAATGTTGGAACCTCGACAGTCTACATGTGTTAATTTATAGCCATATGCAGGTACAATCCTCAACCAGTGTCATGTATGCTGGAAAAGCCTTTTTCAAAGAGGCATTTTGAATGCGGTTCAGCTTTCCATTGAAACCCATAATAAAATTTGAAAGTGGCCTAAAATATTTGGATTAAGTATGTATATTAAATTTTTACTTTACACAATAGATAATATTATGCTGTATATGGTTGTACTATAATGCGTGTATTACCAAATATAGGTGAAAATGGTGCATGTCATGACTTTCTGAGGAGATGTAATGTGTTTGTGCATGTACGTGCATGTACATATGTGTGTGCAGGTGCATGTGAATGTGTGCATGTGCATGTGTGTACCTGTGGACCCACACGTGTGGGGGGGAAGGAAAGAATGAGTGGTGCATGAAGCATGTTGGGTAGCCATGGGCATCCATAGTAAAGTCTAACCTAACTTACATGATTTTTTTTTTTTGTATTTTTAAACGTATATAATTGTTACATAAGTGGGGACACTTATTTTATACATTTTGAAAAGCCACTGGTTATGCAGAGCATTTTGGGCAGATGAATACTAGAGCTTAAAGCCACTTGATACTGTATAGTTGAACTTTAAGTGGTTAAACGAAGCTAATTTTTGTCATGTTATGTGACCCCCATGAATGTACAGTGAAACCATGATTTATTGTACCCTGGTTTATTGTATTCCATTGCTTCTCAATGTTGTCTGTATCCAGATAACATTGAGAAGCAATGGACAAAATTAGTTAAATCCAGAGTTGTCTGCTACCATTGCAGTCTACTGGGTAACTTTAGCTTCAGATTTAAGAGACTTCATGAAATCAAAAAGTTTTTGCTGTTGTTACAGTCATGGAAAAATCTTCTCGTAATTTTGATTTAAAGGACAATCAGCTTTAACGGACACTCCCTTTCCTATTAGTTGTTTAAGTCAAGGATTCACTGAAATAATAATAATAATGTAATTGAGAAGTAGACTGTTTCTCTAGCCTCAGGTGCTGTAAAATTCAACTGCCTGATTACATCCTTGCTTGACTTCGATTTTGATGCTATGATTGTACTCCTTGATTTGTGTTTGTGGGGGGTCAAGGCTTGGCTCCTGGTCCTTCCTTTTATGCTGATCATTCAACATTATAAGCTAATGGCCTATCATACTTTTGAAGCTACATAAGGTGTTCACCTTGACTGCTTCTGCATTCAGTTCAATTTATTTTCCTGATACCCGAGACTGGAGAAGTACTACTAACATTCCTATAATTCATGGTGCTTTTAGCTTCCATTTTCATTCCCTTGTACCTGCTCCTCACACACTTATTCATCCCCTCATTTCCATGGATCATTTTTTATTTTATCAGATACTCCTGATTGAACCAAATGCCTCAATTTAAATTGCATTGTTTGTGGCACATAAGTAAGTAAGAGTAAGTAAACATGAAATTCAGTATTCTTATGGAGAATATTGGATGATTCAGTCCTTTTTGTATCATAAATTCCTGTATTACAGTTACCATTATATAAACTACAACTCTTATCTCCACTATTCTTCACCCATCAATTGTACCCTTCTTTCTGGCATGACTGTTGTAACCATCAGAGTTGTTACTTAGCATGATTATTGTAGTATTTATATTTCTTATCTCCATATATGTTGTAACAATCATGAGTTGTTACCCAAAATAATCTTTGTAGCACAGTACTTAAATTTGTCTCCATATAACTAAACTGAATTGCTTTGAACATTTATGTAATATACATACTTATTCTGTAAATTAGTTTTGGGTGTGTTTAATTTTAAGTCTACTCAAACTGCATTGCATAACTTTGATCTTTTCCATATATGATTAACCTGTATATAATGTAATATAATCTTTGTTTTACTAAGAATAGATATTAGTTACAAAGTTCCACACACGCAAAATATATTGTACAGTGCTGTAATCTGTTTAAAGTAATGTTAGATAAATTGTAAAATTGTAAATTTAATTCATATCTTAAGTATGGTATCTTCTGTATGAAGTACAGTATATTAGTATTGGTGCCCATCTGGCAAGACAGTGATGGAGTGAGTGATGATGAAAGTGTTTCTTCTTTTCTGGGTCACCCTGTCTTCGTGGGAGGCAGCCGGTTTGTTGAAAAAAAAAAAAGTTTACCATCAAGTAATGAAGTTTCCCCCTAATCTTCAGCAATGGATGCAAGGGAGGCTCGAAGACAGACTGCAGCTACGGTAGTCATCTTGGTAGTGCTGACCTTGGAACGTCTTGCTTACTATGCCCTTGCTACAAATTTCTTTCTGTTTCTTAACAAGGTAAATGGTACGACTACTTTTTGTATCAAGTTTTTTTTATTAATGTCTTGATTTAGATTGTACAGTACTGTATTTAAAATCGGTATTAAGTTTTTAAGTATTTTGACTCACTTTATACTCTAGTTTGGAGGGGCTTCTAAGCTGTCATATCTGAACACCTCTGCAAGGACATTGATAATGTATGAGTGAAGTGAAAGTGTTGAATGATGATTAAAGTATTTTCTTTTTGGGGATTTTCTTTCTTTTGGGTCACCCTGCCTCGGTGGGAGACGGCCAACTTGTTGAAAAAAAAAATAAGTATTTAGTGCTTCCTTAATATAATAATAATAATAATAATAATAATAATAGAGAAGTAATAATATATGTGTCTTTTTTATGCTTTATTAAAAATGTATTGTATAATAATAATTTGAATTAGTGCTGCATTAAAATCATCTTTATGAAGAGTGAAGCTAGAAGGGTAGGTAGAATTGATTAAGAATTGTTTTTGTTGCTAATATATCAGCAACTTTCACACTGTATCACAAGGTATATAATATTAATGAATGTATGAATTAAACTTGTGTGATGTCTGGAACATTATGTGGATATGTTTTGCTCACTATGAGTTTCTTTAATCCAGTGAGAAGTGAGGAGAGAGGACAGGTGTAGAGTAGGCAGGACATGTAGAGTACAATTTGTTTTACCTGACAGCAATGATTGATGACTCAAGATCAGTTAAGCAAACAATTTAGGAATGATTAAAACTGCAAGTGTCCTGTACAAGTGTGTTTGCCCCAACTGAGGTTCTAACCAACCTAAACACTGCACCTAGCAGTGGAAAAATTGGTTTCTGTATCATCTGCAGTGTAATTTGGCTATGGTATGTGGATGACAACTTCATAATAATGCTCAAAAGATTCAAACTGGCCCTTCAAAAGAGGCTGAAAGTAGTTGAACCTTTAATCAAGTTCAAACTAGAGGAGGGGTGTGACAATAACTTCTCTACATAAATTTACATCTATGTAAATATGGTGGCTAACTGACTTTTGAAATGTATCAGAAGCCTACCACCAAGGATGATCTTGTGCACTTTCACTCGCACCATGACAACAAAATGAAAAGGGAAGTGGCAATTGGATTTTTTCTTATAGCTTTTAGAATCTACTGCCCCGAATTTCTAGAAAAGGAATGCACTGTTATCTACTAGACCTCAAACTGCATTTCCCCTCCCACTTCATTAGTAACTGTAGACAGTGTGCATTATGAATTTTCTGATTGTTGACTACAATCAAGGCTCTCACTAACAAGAAACTGAAAATCATTGTCTATTCCAAAGATGGGGTATGCTGTACACTATACCATGTGGGATTTGTAGTGAAATTTACATGATCACAGCAATCACAAATATGCTTTCCACTTAGATACTCTCAGTAACACGTGTGTGATACATATGAAGACCCACGGCCATCTGCTGAACGGGAAGGAGGCCAGACTCGTCAACAACAAAAAAAAAAGGAGGATTAACAAAAATGTTGTTGTTTAGGATCAGCAGTTATTAGTTTGGGTACTACAGTTGTACAGAACTCTGGAAATTCTAATATTTCCGAAGTGCTGGCTAACCTGGTCCTGGGCCTCCAAGACATGACCATCAAGTGAATTAAATTGTGCAGTACTTCACACACCCTACCTACACAACATTTAATCTTTTTCTACCATACATAGAGGTTTCCCTCACTTTGTGGTTTTGTTTTGTGTGAGTATAAATTAGCTCTTATACGATAACCCAATAATACATCTTTAAGTATGGTGCCTGTTCTCGAAAGGAAGGATGGGGATATAAGTACGGTGCCTGCACTCTGAAGGAAGGGTGGGAATATAAGTGCGGTGCCTGCACTGTGGGGGTGGGGATATTTGTAGATTTTGAACTCTATATCGGCACCATTCCAGCAAGACAGTGATGGAGTGAATGATGGTGAAAGTGTTTCTTCTTTTTTAGGTCACCCTGCCTCGGTGGGAGATGGTTGGTTTGTTAAAAAAAAAAAATTAATTTATTTCTAAACTGGTTTATATTGGCATTCATAAGAAAAAATGACATAAAAAAAAAAAAGATTTAGGCACAGAAATTCACTGAGCATGTTTTGACGAAATTTTATGATTTTTTTTAATTTAAGTGTTTTACCCCAAGTCCAATAAAGATGGACTCCAGATGACTTGATATTGGGTTGCTTGAATTGTGCAGATACTAAGATGAGACTAAGGATAGAGGAAGGGAGGAAGGATGGAGTAGTAGAGGTATATGTATTCATTGGTTCATAACGTGTTCACTTCAGTCTAGACAGACTGGTTGGTTGGTTGTTTTGGAGGGAGGGTAAAAGTAAGGAGGATTATGATTTAATTTTATATTTAATTTTTTCACTTGTTGTTTGACCTGTTGCATTTTTTTTAGTATATGGCCATTTGATGCTTATCTGGTATGCTCCTAAAACATGACTCACGAAATCGTAATGACATGATTGCAAACAAACCATACCACGGACGGGGATAGAACCCGCGATCAGAGAGTGGCTAACGCAACGGTCTGGAGTTTTGAGACTCTTTGATCGCGGGTTCTATCCCCGCCTGTGGTATGGTTTGGTATGCTCCTATTTTTTAGGTAAAAATAAGTAAAGAAGTGTGGATTTTTTCCTGATTTTGTATAGGGTTTATGATTGAAGTTTTTCTCATTTTCTTATTTTTTTTATTAAAATTCATTAAATTTTTCTATATTACCATTTGGTGCATGTGTGATAAATTTATATAATTTTTATAAACCTTAGTAAAACACTGTGGAATTTACTCAACATATTATATTGGGTTTCCTTTATATTCCATGGCCAGAAATGCATTTGTCACATAAAGTGAGAGACACCTGTACTAACATTTTACTGTCACACTATTAGAAATTAAGTTTAACATAGACCTGAAACCATGCTTCCAACTCTGTAATTACTATTGTTTCTATATATATATATATATATATATATATTTTTTTTTACCTGTAACTTGATGGCACAATTAATGGCTGTTGGGAAATTTAAAAATTTGAGTTAATATAACCTTGTTTGTCCACTTGAAGGGTCCTTGGGATGGTCCTCAGGCATGGGATTCTCTGGATGCTATGAATGCTGTATTTGTCCTGGCGGGAGTCTCATACATGTCTGCTCTTCTAGGCGGGTATGTCACTGACTATTATAACCTAGCATATCTGACCTTTAAATAAATTACTTGTCATCAGACAGGATAAGAAATCACAGTTTGGGATATTGAGCTGAAGTGCACATTCTTTCTTATTAGTACAGGTTGGCCATTGCTAATCCGGCAACCAGTTATCCGGTTCCATCAGTAATCTGGCACTAATTTTGGCTAGCATAATATCAAATTTCATCATTATACTGACTCAAATCATTATACTGGCTCAAATTTCATCATTATACTGACTCAGAAAATGTGCAGATGGTTGTAAATCCACAGCAGCAAGCCAGTGGAGGAGAAACCAGTGATGAAAATGAGGAAGATGTAGCAGAAAGAGCCTCTACTGATAGGTTAAGTGTATTCTAACCTAACCACTGTAATCCGGCAAACTCACTGATCCGGCACACTACAGGTCCCAGTGCTGCCGGATTAGTGATGGCCAACCTGTGCAGTAGAACCCCTGTATCTGTTGATTCAGTATCTGCGGATTCAGTTATCCATGGTTTACCGTGGCCTAAAAATACCTCTTAATTTTGCATAATAATGGTCCCAGAGCACAAAAGTGGAGAGGCTGGCAGTTATTCAAAGCCTAAGAGAAGCTGTCAAGTGCTTCCCATCAGTAAAAAAATGATAATTCCACTTATTGTGCATAATATATCAATTAAACTTTATAATATGTATGTTTAGGATTTACATTTAGGGTTTGCTACTATCCATGGTTTTGGTATCTATGGCAGGTCATTAGAACTTATCGCCTGCAGATATGGGGGTCCTACTGTACTGTACTCCACCATGTTGCAAAATGAAAACAGTGTGAGGCTTTCAACTTGTACTCCAAATTCCTAAAGCCCCTACTGGCTGATCATCCACTTGGACATTAATGGTAGTGTGGAGAGAATGAGTTAAGCAAGGAGGATGAATATATAATGAAAGTATTAGCAACAAGTACTTATATGTAAGGGGAGTTTTCACATATTAAGTACATATGTGAAAGCACCATGGACCTGACAGCAGTAGGCAGCAATAGTCTGACTTTGGGCTGGGCTTCAAGAGTAGAACTCCTCTCAAAAATAGTTAAATGTGTCAACTATGATGAAAGGTCCTAAGAGAACTATGCTAGTCAAAAGAGGTACACTATAAAGCAATTAACCCTCTAACTGTCCAAATGTAGATCTACATTTTTACTGCTAGTGCTCCAAATATTTAAAAAAAAAAATTAAAGCAAAGAGGGCACAATTTTATGTGTATAATATAAAACAAAATTTACCTCCAGTACTTAACGAGATATAAGGCGGCAAAGTTGGCACTAGATACTCACCTGACTGCAACGTGGATTCCTACTACTTGCAGAAGTGTTGCCAATTTAACTTTTTTCTTGTTTTTCTTCATTTACTTAGTTTTTATGTAGGGGTTATCCCCAAAAAGGTTGGAGGGAGAGGGTAAAGGAGGTTTTGTGGGCGAGAGGCTCGGACTTCCAGCAAGCATGCGTGAGCGTGTTAGATAGGATTGAATGGAGACAAATGGTGTTTGGGACCTGACGAGCTGTTGGAGTGTAGGCAGGGTAATATTTTGTGAAGGGATTCAGGGAAACTGGTTAGTTGGACTTGAATCCTGGAAATGGGAAGCGCAATGCCTGCACTTTAAAGGAGGGGTTTGGGATATTGGCAGTTTGGAGGGACATCTAAGCTGTCGTGTCTGAGCACCTCTGCAAAGACAGTGAATATGTGTGAGTGATGATGAAAGTTTTTTTCTTTCTTTTTGGCTTTTTCTTTCTTTTTAGGTCACCCTGCCTCGGTGGGAAATGGTCGACGTGTTAAAAAAAATTAAAATTTATGGTAGATCTTGTGATATCATAGCCAGTCTTTGTTCTTACACAAATATTAGGTACAGATGTAGTAATGAAGCAGTTACGAACACATTGACAGGTGAACATGTTCACCTGCATCAGTCACATACTATTGTGTAGAAATACATACAAATTATTTATAGGTCCCAGAAATGTTTTTAGAAGTGCTGGAGTATATGAAACTCCATGAAGCACAGTGTCAGACAGAGTGGCACTCTATCTGTCTCTGTGTCTGTATCTCTCTGTCTACCTCTCTATCTCTCTGTCTGTCTTTCTGTCTACCTGCCTGTCTCTCTCTACCTGCCTGTGTCTCTGTCTCTGAGAGAGCAGTTCATGAACTTGATCATAAGCTAGACTTTCAAACACATGTTACTCATGTTGCAGAATAATTTCTCTTTACTTAGGGCATAGGTGATAGGACATTCTGGCAGGATGACAGTACTAGAGTTATCAAAATTGAAAGGATGTGACACTAATGTTGCACATGGGTTATTATCATGATGTTTGCTCTAGCTGGTATTCAGTTGAACTGGTGCTCCCACAAAGTACTGAGGGGGTCCTTTTTTTTTTTTTTTTTGATACTGTGCATACTGAGTGTTAAGACCCATTTTATACTGCCTAGGCCTATCAGGCTTCTAGTTCCAAATTTGAAGACAGGAAAAATGAAACATTGATCTATGTTTGGAGTACTATCAATAAGAATGTAGGTCTGCGTTTGGACAGTTAAAGGGTTAATTTGCCCTCCACATTCCAAGCTAAGAAACTCCATGACTTTCCACCATACTGAATCTCTAAACTTGTCATAAAATAAGTGTTTTTAAATTATTTGGTGATTTTTTTCCAAGGTTTAACCTTTCTGAGAATGTCTGATGCTGAAATTTGGATATCTGTATGTTCAGAATTAGGGACACATTTCAAATTTGGATTCTATTCAAAATAATGAGAAAAACTTTTCTCAATAAAAATTTCAGATATGTAGGATAATAATTTTAAACTGACAAACAAGATGATTGTATAATTCATTTAGCTTGCAAATTTTGTATAGTATATACAGAGGCAATCTTTTCTCCTTGGATACATTGTATGCAGTACATGCTAGGATTTGAGGCTGGAGATACCTCCCTCAGTTGCCTTAATAAAATGAAGTCAAGTCGAATTTTAATATAGTTATTTTCGAATGTCTGTGAATGTTTCAGATACATATCAGATGCGTGGCTGGGACGCTTTAAGACTATGGTGGCTGGTTTTTTACTGTACATAAGCGGTTATATCCTTCTGACCTTAATGGCAGTTGATCGTTTGCCTCGTATCATATGTGAAGCCAATAATAATAGTTCAGGTATGTATACTTATCTTTCTCTTCTTGTATTTCTCCTTTTGTAAATAAATACAGGAGAAGGGGTTACTAGCCCCTTGCTCCTGGCATTTTAGTTGCCTATTACAACACGCATGGCTTACGGAGGAAGAATTCTGTTCCACTTGCCCATGGAGATAAGAGGAAATAAACAAGAACCAGAACCAAAAAGAAAATAGCAGAAAACCCAGAGGGGTGTGTATATATATGCTTGTACATGTATGTGTAGTGTGACCTAAGTGCAAGTAGAAGTAGCAAGACGTACCTGAAATCTTGCATGTTTATGAGACAGAAAAAAGGACACCAGCAATCCTACCATCATGTAAAACAATTACAGGCTTTCGTTTTACACTCACTTGGCAGGATGATATTACCTCCCTGGGAGGTTGCTGTTTACCAACCTACTACCTAAAATAAATAAATCTTTCTTTCAACACACCGGCCGTATCCCACCGAGGTGGGGTGGCCCAAAAGGAAAAACGAAAGTTTCTCCTTTTACATTTAGTAATATATACAGGAGAAGGGGTTACTAGCCCCTTACGCATGGCTTACGGAGGAAGAATTCTGTTCCACTTCCCCATGGAGGTAGGAGGAAATAAACAAGAACAAGAACTAGAAAGAAAATAGAAGAAAACTCAAAGGGGTGTGCATATATATGCTTGTACATGTATGTGTAGTGTGACCTAAGTGTAAGTAGAAGTAGCAAGACGTACCTGAAATCTTGCATGTTTATGGGACAGAAAAAATGACGCCAGCAATCCTACCATCATGTAAAACAACTACAGGCTTTCGTTTTACACTCACTTGGCAGGACGGTAGTACCTCCCTGGGTGGTTGCTGTCTACCAACCTACTACCTTTAAAATAAATAAATATATATATATATATATTTCTTTCTTTCAACACACCAGCTGTATCCCACTGAGGCAGGGTGGCCCAAAAAAGAAAAACGAAAGTTTCTCTTTTTAAATTTAGTAATTTATACGGGAGAAGGGGTTACTAGCCCCTTGCTCCTGGCATTTTAGTTGCCTCTTACAACACGCATGGCTTATGGAGGAAGAATTCTGTTCCACTTCCCTGTGGAGGTAAGAGGAAATAAACAAGAACAAGAACTAGAAAGAAAATAGAAGAAAACCCAGAGGGGTGTATATATATGCTTCTACATGTATGTGTAGTGTGACCTAAGTGTGAGTAGAAGTAGCAAGACGTACCTGAAATCTTGCATGTGTATGAGACAGAAAAAAAAGACACCAGCAATCCTACCATCGTGTAAAACAGTTACAGGCTTCCGTTTTACACTCACTTGGCAGGACGGTAGTACCTCGCTGGGCGGTTGCTGTCTACCAACCTACTACCTAAAATAAATAAATAGATAAATAAATAAATAGATAAATAAATAAATAGATAAATAAATAAATAGATAAATATATATATATGAGGAGAGTGAAGTTCAGGTTAGGGTGTGTAGAAGAGAGGGAGACTACTTCCCGGTAAAAGTAGGACTTAGACAGGGATGTGTAATGTCACGATGGTTGTTTAATATATTTATAGATGGGGTTGTAAAAGAAGTAAATGCTAGGGTGTTCGGGAGAGGGGTGGGATTAAATTATGGAGAATTAAATACAAAATGGGAAGTGACACAGATACTTTTTGCTGATGATACTGTGCTTATGGGAGATTCTAAAGAAAAATTGCAAAGGTTAGTGGATGAATTTGTGAGTGTGTGTAAAGGTAGAAAGTTGAAAGTGAACATAGAAAAGAGTAAGGTGATGAGGGTATCAAAGGATTTAAATAAAGAAAAATTGGATATCAAATTGGGGAGGAGGAGTATGGAAGAAGTGAATGTTTTCAGATACTTGGGAGTTGACGTGTCAGGGGATGGATTTATGAAGGATGAGGTTAATCATAGAATTGATGAGGGAAAAAAGGCGAGTGGTGCGTTGAGGTATATGTGGAGTCAAAAAACGTTATCTATGGAGGCAAAGAAGGGAATGTATGAAAGTATAGTAGTACCAACACTCTTATATGGGTGTGAAGCTTGGGTTGTGAATGCAGCAGTGAGGAGGCAGTTGGAGGCAGTGGAGATGTCCTGTCTAAGGGCAATGTGTGGTGTAAATATTATGCAGAAAATTCGGAGTGTGGAAATTAGGAGAAGGTGTGGAGTTAATAAAAGTATTAGTCAGAGGGCTGAAGAGGTGGTTTGAGGTGGTTGAGGTGGTTTGGTCATTTAGAGAGAATGGATCAAAGTAGAATGACATGGAGAGCATTTAAATCCGTAGGAGAAGGAAGGCGGGGTAGGGGGTCGTCCTCGAAAAGGTTGGAAGGAAGGGGTAAAGGAGGTTTTGTGGGTGTGGGGCTTGGACTTCCAGCAGGCGTGCATGAGCATGTTCAATAGGAATGAATGGAGACGAATGGTATTTGGGACCTGACGATCTTTTGGAGTGTGAGCAGGGTAATATTTAGTGAAGGGATTCTGGGAAACCGGTTATTTTTATATAGCCGGACTCGAGTCCTGGAAATTGGGAAGTACAATGCCTGCACTCTAAAGGAGGGGTTTGGGATATTAGCAGTTTGGAGGGATATGTTGTGTATCTTTATACGTATATGCTTCTAAACTGTTGTGTTTCTGAGCACCTCTGCAAAAACAGTGATAATGTGTGAGTGAGGTGAAAGTGTTGAATGATGATGAAAGTATTTTCTTTTTGGGGATTTTCTTTCTTTTTTGGGTCACCCTGCCTCAGTGGGAGACGGCTGACTTGTTGAAAAAAAAAAAAAACTTCTAAACTGTTGTATTCTGGGCACCTCTGCAAAAACAGTGATTATGTGTGAGTGAGGTGAAAGTGTTGAATGATGATGAAAGTATTTTCCTTTTGGGGATTTTCTTTCTTTTTGGGTCTCCCTGCCTCGGTGGGAGACGGCCGACTTGTTGAAAAAAAAAAATTATTTATTTATTTATTTATATTTTACTTCTGATGTCTGGTCCCCTTAGGAGAGCTCTCATGTGAAGGTGGATATTTTGAAGGAACTTTTGAAACTCACATGGATTCCACAATAAGGCATGACTGTCACATGAATGAAGCAGTTGCCACTTTTTGCAGTGAGCAATGAGTGTGTGCATGTGTGTGTGTTTGTGTGTATGCACATGTGTGTGCACGTGTGTGCATGTGTGTGCATGTACATGCACCACGCACTTGCAAGTGAAAATAATGAATATTTACATAGTAATTGATGTATAGGAGAATAGGAAAAAATTAAAAAGATAGGAAAGCAAGTACTGTATGTGTATGAATGGATTTAAAGGGGGTGGTTAGCCAGACTTAACTATTGGAGGTAGTACTTGCTGAGTGGTGGCTGTCCTGCTTCAGCGAGTCATCCTGCATCCATGTAAAATGGCTGATGTGATTTTTCTTATTAAAAATTATTAAAATAATTAAACAGAAGATATATAGATTTTTTCTTTGAGTTTTTACTGTAGTTTATTTCAAAGCCTTGCCCTAGCAACATCCATATAGTACAAGAGAATGAGGCAATTGTTCCATGGGAGAGGCAGTTGTGCCACCACCTAAAAGTACCCATTATCTGAGTACCTAGTCTCCAAAATGAGTGTTAATACTTGATCGGTAAGTAGATTCCAAATACATATGTTTTTATAAGTAGTACATATTCTGGAAACTACCCAGGTAATGAGAACTTTTAGGTGGTGGTGCAAATATCCCTCTCGCAGCGTAATTGCCCCATTGTATGATTGCATTACCATTTTCCAGGATGCAACCTACAACATTTGATTAACACCCATGTGCTAATTTTGTTCATTGTACATAATGGCACTGGATGTAAGGTGACCGGATATTGTATCTTCCCCTTTCCCTTCCCTACGAGATGATTGTTTTGACCACAGCTGTAGGTAACATGTATAATTATGTACAGTATTTAGATTTAATTGGGCATTTTAATTTAAATATGAAGAAATTTATTTTCAGAATTATCACCATATATATTACTTTAATGCCTGTTGATTGTATTACCTTGATAATTTCTATGAAATTCACAGACAGTGAGCTGAGTGATACTCCTAATGCGCCTTGCAAAGTTGCGGTTTATGTATCAGTCACAATTGTGGGCTTAGGGGTCGGCATTGTCAAGAGCAACATTGCACCTTTCGGTGCTGAACAGGTATGGTAAGAGGGATTTTTTTTTTGTTATGTTTAATATAAACATTTATGATCTCTACATAACATTTGTGTCATTTACCAAGTGATTTTAAGGATTTTTTTTTAGGATCTTAAACTCTTTCTTTTAGCTTAGTATGAAATGTGTGTGTGCTGTGTTACACGAAGACTATAATAATGCAATTTTTCAGTCACGGTATTTTGGTGTAGCATTTAGTATCCCCCTTTTATAAATTATTCCATTGTTCTTTCTGTGAAGAAAAACTATGGTTGGCAGCAGCTACAGCATGCATTGTTTATAATTACTGTATGAGGGTAGTTGACCTGACAGTAAAGAAATGAGATAGATGTAGAGATCATTGGTGTTTATGCGATTTTTTTTTTAATATAACAGCCATCTCCCACCGAGGCAGGGTGACCCCAAAAAAAGAAGAAACAAAATTTTTCTTCTTTTTACATTTATTAATTTGTACAGGAGAAAGGGTTACTAGCCCCTTTTTTTATGCAGTACATAATATTATTCACTTTTGTAATTAATTTTTTTATGTAAAGTTTCTGTTAACAGCAAGTGGGGCCAAGTACATTCACAAAATGCCACATAAGATATATCATTTATTTTCTAGACAGCATTAAGCATTGTACTATAGTAAAACATTGTCAGATTAGCTCTTTATTCTGTGTTCTGTGTTTTGTTTAAAGACTTTGTTGAAATCAAAATTTGACACTGAAAGATTATTTTTTCTGCTTAGATAACTGAGATTCATAATTAGGTATTGTAATGGTGTTTTAGGTTTTCCACATTACAGAATAAAAAACTAATGTAATGAACAGGTAAGCACTTAAATACACTTAAGGTGCATAAGGGAAGAGGTTGTGTGTCCCTTCCTTTGTCAAGCTTGCAAACTTTGCAAATTATATGATGGTGAGTGAATGATAACTGTGTTCCTTGTTTTTGGGTCACCCTTTCCTGGTGGAATACAGCCAGTATGTTAAAAAAAAAAAAAGGTATGATAAAATAAAGTACCTTTAATAAATATTGAAGGGGGAAGTACAGTGCCTGCACTCTGAATGAGGAGTAAGGATATGTTGCAGTTTTTCAACTGTAGTATTGGCATGCCTCTGGCAAGACAGTGGTGGAGTGAGTGATGAAGAAAGTGTTTCTTCATTTTTGGGTTACCCTGTCTGTGGAAAATGGCCGATGTGTTGAAAAAAAAAAAAGAAATTTGAACATGATGCTTTTATGAATTTCAGTGTAAGATTTCTAAAAATATATGGCAAAAATTTGTGAGGCTGCTTCAGATTTTCTTGGAAAATTGTGGTGTACTGGTGCAAAAGAAGTCTTTTTCTGTATTGATTTTTTTTTAACACATTGGCCATTTTCCACCGAGGCAGGGTGACCCAGAGAGAAAGAAAAACCCTAAAAGAAAGAAACAATTTCATCATCGTTCAACACTTTCACCATCATTCATACATAATCACAGTTTAGATGTCACTCCAAACAACCAATATCCCAAACCCCTCCTTTAAATATTGTTAAAATTTAATGCAAAATGTTTTGGTCCTTCCAGCTTAATACTGCAAATCCACACAAGACTCGGGCATTCTTCAACTGGTTTTACTGGTGCATCAACCTTGGCAGTCTTGTTGGTGTTGGGGCTATCTCTTACATTGAACAAGACAACCCAGGAATTTGCTCTAATGGCTTCTTTTGTGGATACCTTATTGCTTCAGGTAAGATACTCTCTTACAGTCTTCTGCTCAGAGGATTTTATTTCATTTTTAACATAGGGCCCAACTGTTATACACTATGAATTAACCACCGCAGGTTGATGTTTCACAGCTAAGATTACAGGGGAGATGTCCTGTCTTACAGCAATGTGTGGTGTAAATATTATGCAGAAAATTCGTAGTGTGGAAATTAGGAGAAGGAGTGGAGTTAATAAAAGTATTAGTCAGAGGGCTGAAGAGGGTTTGTTGAGGTGGTTTGGTCATTTAGAGAGAATGGATCAAAGTAGAATGACATGGAGAGCATATAAACCTGTAGGAGATGGAAGTCGGGGTAGGGGTCGTCCTTGAAAAGGTTGGAGGGAGGGGGTAAAGGAGGTGTTGTGGGCGAGGGGTTTGGACTTCCAGCAAGCGTGTGTGAGTGTGTTAGATAAGAGTGAATGGAGACAAATGGTATTTGGGACCTGACGAGCTGTTGGAGTGTGAGCAGGGTAATATTTAGTGAAGGGATTCAGGGAAACCGGTTATTTTATATAACCGGACTTGAGTCCCGGAAATGGGAAGTACAATGCCTGCATTCTAAAGGAAGGGTTTGGGATATTGGCAGTTTGGAGGGATATATTGTGTATTTATATACATATATACTTCTAAACTGTTGTATTCTTGGCACCTCTGCAAAAACAGTGATTATGTGTGAGTGAGGTGAAAGTGTTGAATTAAGATGAAAGTATTTTCTTTTTGGGTCACCCTGCCTCGGTGGGAGACGGCTGACTTGTTGAAAAAAAAAAAACTATAAAATATGTACAGAATCTACCATAATATGATCATTGGGAAATCATTTAATATATAATATTTTGTTTATTTACAGTTTGCCTACTTTTGGCTCTGATATTGTTCATCATGCTTCTACCTTGTTACCACATTGTGCCACCAGAGGGCAGTGTAATAGGTAACATCCTTAAGATCATTTGGGCATCCATATGCGCTCAGTTTCGACATTGGAGGTATAATCAACCCAATCCCAATTCCAGGTAATATCTTTGCAAAGCATTGCAAAGTGTTTTTAACATTTCATGAATATTTATTAATATTTAGTAGGTTGTATTTTGTAGGTAGTAGGTTGGTAGACAGCAGCCGTCCAGGGAGGTACTACCGTCCTGCCAAGTGAGTGTAAAACGAAAGCCTGTAATTGTTTTACATGATGGTAGGATTGCTGGTGTCTTTTGTCTGTCTCATAAATATGCAAGATTACAGGTAAGTCTTGCTACTTCTACTTACACTTAGGTCACACTACACATACATGTACAAGCATATATATACACACCCCTCTGGGTTTTCTTCTATTTTCTTTCTAATTCTTGTTCTTGTTTATTTCCTCTTATCTCCATGGGGAAGTGGAACAGAATTCTTCCTCTGTAAGCCATGCGTGTCGTAAGAGGCGACTAAAATGCCGGGAGCAAGGGGCTAGTAACCCCTTCTCCTGTATATATTACTAAATTTAAAAGGAGAAACTTTAGTTTTTTCTTTTGGGCCACCCCACCTCGGTGGGATACGGCTGGTATGTTGAAAGAAGGAGGTTGTATTTTTGTTACTGTCAGCTTTTTGTTTTTTATTTTACATCAGTGACCATCTGCCTTGAAGGCAAGGTAACTCAAAGAAGGAAACACACTCACTATATCTGAGTGTAATGTTAATTCAATAAATTAAAGCTCTAGATGCTTCAGTAAAATCTAAGATCATCTAGGCATTTCTGATATACATTTAATTCTTTCATAGGCTTTAGGCAATTAATATTTGTATAAGCCCTTGTTTAATGTTCTAATAAATTTTGTCGATGAGGGTGATGGTAGTATTAATTTGGAAGAGATCCTTGCATTGTATGAATTGAATGGTGCATTATCAAATTTTTTACCTAAGATAATTGTTAATTCTTCAGAGATATTACTATTGTCTGCATTTTTATTTTTACTAGTCCTCTTCACTTGGAACCAAGATTTCTTGATAGAGCAAAAATACGATTTGGTGGTTCCTTCCATGAGTCTGCAGTAGACGATGTGCGTTCACTTGGGAAGTTGCTTAATGTCTTCACTGCTCTCATACCTTATTGGCTGGTGTATTTCCAGGTATTGTATATAGGGTCTTTTCACACAGTGTTGTCAAGCATTGCAATTTCCTCTGAAAAAAAGTACCATATATTAAAGTATATTTGGGTAATTTTCTGGCATAATTACATTTTTTTTTTCCACAATTTCTCACTTTTTGTTTTATAAGTTTGCATCTGCAATATCCAGAATATTCATAACTTCAGCAGATCTTTACTTGTATCAATATTACTTACGAATTGAGTATTGGACACCTAGTACAGTACTGTTCTCATCTAAAATATAAAAACCTATCCTGTCATTACTTCTTTGGAAAAAAATTACATGCCTTGTGTGACAGGAAATTTTTTCCCTTACCCAGTGTCAGTGATCTGTTTGTTCTTTATCAGTTAAGATAAATAAAGATGGACATAATGAAGATAGAAATATATTTGCTTAAAAGAGTTTTGGAACCACTGTTATGAAGATTTTAATTTGAAAGGCAACATATAACACCGAAATGCATAATTCAGTATGTTTGCATGATTTTTTTAATTTCATTCGACAAAATCGGTTAAAAGCATCTCTGAAGTTATGAGTGCAGTTTGTGTACTGTTTCTAGTTATTGTTGACATAAACATATGTAAATATTTTAAACCTAGCATCAAATATTGATGGAGAGAGTGAACCATAGACAAGAGAGCAGATTTATGTGACTTTGGTTAGTTTGGCTGTAAGTGGTATAGTGACACTGACAAACTGGGGAAAATGACACCAGTGTACAGCTCAGGACATTTATTAGAGGTAATATTTCACCACTTGTGGCAAAACGTTTCCTTTAGTAAACGTCCTGACCAGTATACAAGTGTCCTTTTCTACAGTTTGGTTAGTTTGTGGTACAGTATTGCAGTTGTACATGAAAGGTATACAGTACTGACAGTTGAAGAATTAGACACATGTGTAACATCTGAGTATCTTTATTTGTAGATGTTGCACATGTGTCTAATTCTTTAATATTGCAGTTGCCTTAAGTTTGTCATTATCATAAAACTGGTTTTTATTTTGCAGATGGAGACAAGTTTTCAGGCCCAGGGTTTGCACATGCACTTCTCTATTCATGGCACTGACCACCACAATAATACAGATGATACACTACAGACAGATAAGGCAGAGAAATTCAATGTAAGTTTGATTGAATCACACCTGCATTCTCATTACTGACTTAAGTTATTATTTTTATAACGAGGCTTTGATATGACTGGTATGATGTCTTAACCAGCACTATATTATATGCACATTCACTGACTGGTATACTTTTGCTCTGAATGGGGGGATAATGGACATTCCTAGAAAAGATTACTCAGAGAAATCTCATTCAGAGCAAACGTAGTTTACCATTGAAAATAAGGAGCGGTATGATAGGCTCTTATTGTTTTGGGAGAGATGTTCAGTTTTTTTCCTTAGTTTTTACTTTATCAAATACACATTTATATTTAGTAAATGGTCATTTGATTTAGGTGTGATGGGTTCCAGTATAATGCAGTTTAGTCAGTAAATTTGGATTTTTTTTTTATAAAATTGCAATTGTTTGAGATAAGTGCTGAGATTTTTTCTTGGTTTTTAAATAACATATATTTTATATGAGTACACAGATAACCCACACATACATAGGAGAAAAGCTTATGACAACATTTTGGTCTGACTTGGACCATTACCTAGTCACGCACTTACACATGAGGGTAATGGGGCCAGTATATAAAATTGCTCCCTTACCTTCGTGGCTCACTTACCTATGTGCGTTCAAGTGGGACTGAAACATCATCATGAGTTTCTTTCTTCTATGTGCGGGTTATTTGTGTATTGTTCCAGTCACGCTGTTGTGTCTTTTTAATTCTTTAATTTGTATGAAACTATTCAGCGATGTGTTATTTCAAATTAACAAATTAGCTACAGTGGACCCTCGTTTTTTGCAATTAATCCATTCCAGAGAGTGTGACTAATAGCGAAATTGACAATTTGTGAAACTATTTTCCCCATAAGAAATAACATAAATCCAGTTAATCCATTTCAGATCAAAAGTATTAACAAAAAAATAATTTTTTACATGAAATATAGATTTACATACACAGAAAACAATGAGACATGAAGAATAAAACAATAATAACATCACACTTACCTTTATTGAAGACTCTTGTTGGTGTATGAATAAAATATGCCATTACACATGTTAGGAATTGTGGCGGCAGCAGGGGAGTGTGTTTGGAGGCAGGACAAGATAGTCCTTTAATATGACACTAATATCAACTCTATGGCTTATTTATCTATCACAATTCATCTAATATGACATAATAAACAATATTAATAACATAGAAACATGACATATACTCCAGAATGAATAAAGAATGTCATTACATGTGTCACGAGTGGTGGTGTGTTTTATTGTTGGGTGTATAAGGGCCACTGCGAGCATAAGCCATACATAGTGGTGGTGAAGGCCAGCAGAGACGGCGGTGTTCTCAGTAGCCCTATGTAACTCCAACAACATTGGAGGAGTTAGGTTCGTGCTGTCTTTTTTTTATCGATTAATCGCTTAACTTACTTGCTACACTGTTAATGCTACACTTTATCTCTGGCTGGCACTATAGCCTTTATCAACTCGTGCTGCTTTAATATTTTGCATATCATTGAGTCACTGAATCACTCTTCCTCCTCCACTTTGATACTTTGCTACGAGTTCTTTCTTGAATTCTATCGTATTCCTCACATTCTTTACCAAAGGCCTGGCACTAGGAGCTTTCTTTGGGGCCATGGTGGCTTATTTAGCAGTTGCAAGCACTAAAACAAATGGAATATTACGAAATGTAACGTATGAACGTGTGGGATCGTCCTCAATAGCTGATAAACAATGGCACACTGGCTGTGAATGGAGTGTGAGGCCACTCAGAGCTGTGCATATGCACCTAGGAAGAACAACTATTTGTGAGTCAAACGACAATTTGCGAGTCAATATTTTGGTAAAAAAAAGTTACGATTTTTGAAAGTTACGACTTCCGATGCTTACGAAAAATGAGGGTCCGCTGTATTCACATTGGTGTCCTCAGAGGTAGTTATGTATTCACATATCGGATACCTCTACAACTTACCACTTTCTCAAGCTCACATTTTTCTCTCTCTCTTTTCCTCTCTTAGTCATCAATCTATAAAGCACGTGTATAATTATTACCCTGATGAGACATATCACCACTATTTTTTGGATTGACGTAAATATGGGATATACCTGAAGGATGTTTCTGGGGGTCAACACCTGGTCCCAGACAAGGCCTCTTGGAGGATCAAAGTTTGATCAACCAGGTTGTTACTACAGGCCACATGCAGTCCAAAGTATAAACCACAGCCTGGCAGGTCAGGCCCTGATTTGAAGAACTTGTCCAGTTCCCTTGTGAAGACCACAAGAGGTTTGTTGGTAATTTCCCTTATTCACTTTTGGTGCTTGAGTAAAACTGATTGAGGCAACTGTCAGCACTGCTATAAACTGCACTAACTTCTTTAATCCAGCACTTTCCTAGCATTTAAACTGATAGTTCTAGAACATACTAGTGAATCTGGAGCAGACACAGTAGGAGAATACACAACTATCCTGCACATAGGAGAATGAAACTTACGATAGTGTTTCGGTTCGACTTGGACAAGTTAATAATCCAAGTCAGGCTATTTGTGTATTGTTCCAGTCATGGTATTGTCCCTTTTTATTCTTTACAGTAGGAGAATTAATCAGACAAAGTAACTATCCTGAATGAAAAAGTACAGAACAGTAGCGTTTAATTGTGTGAGGATGGTAGTGAATGATATTATAGATTTCTGTCTGCAGGTACCAGCTGCATGGCTCACCCTCTTCAATCAGCTGTTTCTGATTGGAGCTATCCCTCTTCTTACCAGTTTTCTCTACCCAATCATGGATCGAGCAGGCATACGCATGTCCATGCTTTTCAGGATTGGTATGTGCATTTTCCTTGTGGTCATTTATTTTCTTTCTGATTTTTGTGTCTGAAAAATTAATATTTTTATATAAATATTTAGTCATGATAAATTTGATTTTCTTAGGAGGAGATTACTTTTATTTCTTTGTGGATACATACAAGATACTGTTCTTGCTTTTCTTTATATGCACAGCTAAGACACTTGCTTTTATATGTTACAGCTGAAATACTGCTTGTCTTTATAGGTACAGCTAACATATTTGCTTTTCTTTAAAGGTATTGGTATGGTGTTCAGTATCTTAGCTGTCATGACTGCAGGTGGTCTAGAGTCATACAGGATATTCCTCTGGCGGACTGAGTAAGTTGATTTGGAACATTTGATTCAGTACTTGTTCATGTTGTGTTACTTATTCAGAAGAGGGTACCATGTAATTTATTTTATCAGCATTCCCTCTTCGAGTGAGATGCATTGATGCTGGTGCCAGGGTTTTTATTCCAAGAAATTGGTGTTACCCTTGCTGTCCTTGGATCAGACTTGGTTGTCTTTCATTCCCCAAGCACTTACTACAATACCTATGGGTTTAGAGCTTCCATAAGAATATAATTAGAATCTACTTTGTAAATCAATCATATGCTCATTTTTGAAAGTGGACATGACGTAGTGTACAGTTTAATGTGTAATGAAAGTAAGAGTGGGTATATTGTAATGAAAGTGAGAGTGGGTGTATTGTAATGAACGTGAGAGTGGGTGTATTGTAATGAACGTGAGAGTGGGTATATTGTAATGAAAGTGAGAGTGGGTGTATTGTAATGAACGTGAGAGTGGGTGTATTGTAATGAACGTGAGAGTGGGTGTAATGAATGTGAGAGTGGGTGTATTGTAATGAACATGAGAGTGAGTGTATTGTAATGAAAGTGAGAGTGGGCATATTGTAATGAACATGAGAGTGGGTGTATTGTAATGAAAGTGAGAGTGGGTATATTGTAATGAAAGTGAGAGTGGGTATATTGTAATGAACATGAGAGTGGGTGTATTGTAATGAAAGTGAGAGTTGGTGTATTGTAATGAACGTGAGAGTGGGTGTATTGTAATGAACATGAGAGTGGGTGTATTGTAATGAAAGTGAGAGTGGGTATATTGTAATGAAAGTGAGAGTGGGTGTATTGTAATGAACGTGAGAGTGGGTATATTGTAATGAACGTGAGAGTGGGTGTATTGTAATGAAAGTGAGAGTGGGTATATTGTAATGAAAGTGAGAGTGGGTGTATTGTAATGAACGTGAGAGTGGGTATATTGTAATGAACGTGAGAGTGGGTGTATTGTAATGAAAGTGAGAGTGGGTATATTGTAATGAAAGTGAGAGTGGGTGTATTGTAATGAATGTGAGAGTGGGTATATTGTAATGAAAGTGAGAGTGGGTGTATTGTAATGAAAGTGAGAGTGGGTGTATTGTAATGAAAGTAAAGTTCAATCTGATCTAAAAAAAAACTTTAGACCTGCCTTTTAACTCATCACTGTTTAAAGTTATTAATTTAGTGGAGAATATTACAGGATTTTTGCCATGTTATTGTTATTATATAAGAAAATAACAGTAAACCCATAAGGGTCACATAATGCACTTTATTTTCCATAATTTGACTCTTATACAGAAGAGACCTCAGATAACAGCAACAGTTTTGCACCTGAAAAATATTCCACTTCTCTATACCTGGGCAAAATCTTACCATTCTAATTGGTAGGGTCACTCTGTCTGACTTTTTTGGGTTATCCGAGGTTCTCTACACATATGCTGCTATGTATGATAATTCTATGTAACTGTATTTGTGTATACCTGAATAAACTTACTTACTTAATCACTGAGAGCCTTCCTGCTCGTCACTGATATACATTACTGTATTATTTAATTTATGATAAAATTATACGTTTGTTTATTTTTAACACTGACTGTCTCCCACTGAGATAGGACGTTAAACCTGATTAAAAAAAAAAATTGTTTTTATCACCCCTATTTCACTTGTGTTTTTTGGTGTTTTTTTTATGTAATGTAACAAAATTCAAGTGTAATGTGGGTAAAAAGAAGCAGAAGCAAAATATTTCAGTGACTGTGTGTAATGCTAATAATTTCTCTCTTTTTTTTTCAGTAATTCATCTCATATTGATCAGATTGTGGGCAATGTAACTTACCATGCTGTTAACATTTCTATCTTCTGGCAAATTCCTCAGTATGTTCTAGTTGGGGCTGCAGAACTCTTCGCTAGTATTGCAGGTACGAATCCAAGTCAAGCTTAACTAGCGAGTGTTTGTAAAAGATGTATGTATGTATGTATGTATGTATTTTTTTTACACACACTGGCCATCTCCCACCGAGGCAGGGTAACCCAAAATAGAAGAAACAAAAGTTTTTCTTCTGTTTACATTTGGTAATTTATACAAGAGAAGGGGTTACTAGCCCCATGCTCCTGGCATTTTAGTAGCCTCTTACGACATGCATGGTTTACAGAGGAGGGATTCGTCTTCACTTTCCCATGGAGATGCATGTAGTTTATTATATTAATTTTTTTAACACATCATTACTTTCCCATCGTGACAGAATGATGCAAACACTTTCTTATCACTTATTCTTTAGCTGTCTTACCAAAAATAAACAAACATTGCAGTTGAAATTAGTATAGTGCTTCAGTAGCACTATAGCCCAGTTATATAGACCAGTAACAGTGTGTCCAGATTTCATTTGTAAATTGTATATTTTTAGATTTGTTTAAAGGTACATGTATTTTTTACCAAAATCTCTGTTGAACACTGTGGTTACATTATATCTAGATACGAATCTGTCTAAGGGCAATGTGTGGTGTAAATATTATGCTGAGAATTTGAAATGTGGAAATGAGGTGTGGAGTTAATAAAAGTATTAGTCAGAGGGCTGAAGAGGGGTTGTTGAGGTGGTTTGGTCATTTAGAGAGAATGGATCAAAGTAGAATGACATGGAGAGCGTATGAATCTGTAGGGGAAGGAAGGGGGGGGGGTAGGGGTTGTCCTCGAAAAGGTTAGAGGGAGGGGGTAAAGGAGGTTTTGTGGGTGAGGGGCTTGGACTTCCAGCAAGCATGCATGAGCGTGTTAGATAAGAGTGAATGGAGATGAATGGTTTTTGGGATCTGATGAGCTGTTGGAGTGTGAGCAGGGTAATATTTAGTGAAGGGATTCAGGGAAACCGGTTATTTTTATATAACTGGACTTGAGTTCTGGAAATGGAAAGTACAATGCCTGCACTTTAAAGGAGGGGTTTGGGATATTGGCAGTTTGGTAGGATGTGTAATTAGGAGAGTATATATATAACTGGGGCCCTGATATTGTAATTATTTCAGGTCACTTTTTATATTGTGTCTTTATATATGCTTCTAAACTGTTGTATCTGGGCACCTCTGCAAAAACAGTGATTATGTTTGAGTGAGGTGAAAGTGTTGAATGATGATGAAAGTATTTTCGTTTTGGGAATTTTCTTTCTTTTTGGGTCACCCTGCCTAGGTGGGAGATGGCAGACTTGTTGAAAAAAAAATGAATCTAGTCCTTGTTCCTATGTATATATACAGTGGTACCTCAAGTTTCGAACTTTCTTCTTTCTAGAAGGCTGTTCGAGTGCTATTACCGAATAAATTTGTTCCTGCAAGGAATAATGTAAATTAGATTAGTCCGTTTCAGACCCCCAAAAATACACTTACAAGAGCACTTATAATAATACACTTACATAATTGGTCGAGTTGAGAGCAGTTCGAAACTCGGGGTACCACTATATACAGTATTCCCCAGTGCCAGGTAACATGCTGCATTGTCTAAGGTGAAATTGTAGGTGTACCTAGTTTCTGTAAATTTTTCTCATTTTTTCTAAACATTACAGGTATTTAAAAAACTTAAGTAGGGTACTTAGTTCTAATTAGGTATGCATATAATTAAATGTTACATGATGAAAGTAAATATTTATAGCATATATCCCAATACTGCTTATAAGAAATTATTTTAAATTTGCTGCACTTACCCCTTGAGGGTCTTACATTATGTTGTATACCATACCATATGACACTTTATGGTATTTATTTATATTTTTTTGTGCAATAGCTGTTTTTATTTTTTCTTGTAACTCCCTAACAGTGATTCACGTTTGGTGAACTTGTGCATTTGTGTGTATCTATCTATATACAGTATCTACATCATCATCATGTTCCCAATTCCTCTTCTTCCCCATAACCTTCCCTTCAAGTTCATGACATAAGCTTCTATTTGGCTTTATCTAAACATAATATTTGTGTGCCTATTCTTCTTTATGCTATTATTGGATCTTTTTCATGTGTAATCCTTTCCTCTACCTTGATGTTGCTTATTTGATCATCACTATTTTCCTTGCAAAGTTATAATTTGCTGCACTATCCATGTGCTGCAATCATTGTAGATTTTCTTCTCTTTGGCTACTCTTGCTTCATATCTTACATTTCTTACTTTATCATGCATCATTTAACATAAATTTCTGAATTACTTGTAACACAGCCCAAACACAAGTTTTTCTTAACACACTGGCTGTCTCGAACAGAGGCAGGATGACCTGAAAGAGAAGAAACACTTCTACCATCATTCACTTTATCATTGTCTTGCCAGAAGCACACAGGTACTATAGATGTCCCTCCAAACTGCAAATATCTCCACCTTTCTTTCAGATTGCAGGCACTGTGCTTTCCACCTCCAAGACTGAAGTTCAGCTAACTGGTTTTCCTGAATCCCTTCATAAAATGTTTCCTTGTTTGCACTCCAACAGCTCTATAAGTTCCAAAACTATTTGCTTCTGCTCACCCCCTATCTAACATGCTCACACATTCCTGCTGGATGTCCATGCTCCTTGTACACAAAAACCTGTTTTACTCCCTCCTACTTTTTCTAAGGTGACCTCTACCCCACCTTCCCTCCACTACAGATTTATACACCCTCCAAGTCATCCTGTTTTTCTCCATCCTCTCTAAATGTTCAAACCACCTCAAAAATCCCTCCTCAGCTCTCTTGATAATATAATACTTTTGGTAACTCTGCACCTCCTAATCTCCAAGCTATGTATTCTCTGCATTATACAAATGTGTGCATGTAATAGTTTTCACTGTAATGAATTTTTCATTTATAAAGTCTTATCATTCTTTTTTTGTATTGTTATATAAATTCATTTTTTATGTACTGCATTTTCTGTTTTTCAGGTTTGGAATTTGCATATTCTGCTGCACCTCGGTCATTCCAGGGAATGATCATGGGTTTATTTTACACTATGGAAGGCATTGGTTCCCTTCTAGGTACAGCACTGCTCCACCTTGTGAGCCCTTTTTGGCTCAGTAATATGACTGACTATGGCAACATCAATGACAATCACCTTGACTTTTATCTCTACTTCCTGGGCATCTTACAATTCACTACCTTCTTGATCTACTGTGGTTCACTCTACATGCAAAGGTTTTCCCTACGGCCAGTAGCGATGCCTCGTACTAGAAGAGGCAGGGGAAGGAGGTACACTGTGGATCCTCAGGCAGATGGAGGTGCAAGAGGAGGTATACTGAAAGAGGAGGAAGATGAGGAGGAGGATGATAATCTGGAAGAGGAGGAAGATGATGCCAGAGATGAAGAGAGACCTAGAGATAGTCAGCTGCTGCTATGAAAATGAGTTGTGTTTATTGCTCTCTCTTTATTGTAAATACTGAATCTCGGCACATGAGTGTTCTGTTATCCTAGTACAGTGGACCCCGGTTAACGATATTTTTTCACTCCAGAAGTATGTTCAGGTGCCAGTATTGACCGAATTTGTTCCCATAAGGAATATTGTGAAGTAGATTAGTCCATTTCAGACCCCCAAACATACACGTACAAACGCACTTACATAAATACACTTACATAATTGGTCTCATTCAGAGGTGATCGTTATGCGGGGGTCCACTGTATTCACAGTTACATTGTTGGCATCATTTTTTTTTTTTTTGGTTAAAAGTAATGACACTTGAAATTGTGTAATCTCTTTGTGTGCAAAATGTCCTATATATATTACTCTGTGTTTAATGTGTTGTATTTCTTATTTTTTTATTTACTTCAAATGTCAGTTACTTTGAAATATCAACACTTGGGTTTACCTGTGTTTTAGCTACTTATATTTGTTATTAATACTGATATTTTGCTATTTCAATTGGCTTTAAATAAGATGCTTAACATGAAGATTTTATTAAATAACTCTTACTTTTGATTTTACATTATACTGCACTCATTCCATCCTAATAATTTTTTTGTTTAGAAATATTACAAAAACAGTTGCTAGTTTAGTGAGTGTTCATAGGCTATGGTTCATAGGCTGAAATACATCAACATTAAAGCTTTAACTGTTGAGACACACCGCTAACATTTAGTCACTTAATTTTTTATTAGTTCAGTTATACTCTTAATTATGTAATCCAGATGAGAAGATAGCTCAGATTGTTAATTTTTTTTTTGTTGCTTTATCTCTGGATGATATCTTGAGAATTCATCTTTATTTTATCATTAATGGTGACCTGAAACTAACCATTTATTTATGTTGATGAAGTAGTTTTTTTATTCAGATTGGACAGTGAAGGCTCCAAAAATATCAAATAAGCAGAATTACTCCAGTCTTATTATACACATTTCTTAATACCAGATGTTGTGCCAATAAGCTTTTTATTCAAGTAAACTTTCAAAGATTGTTGACTTTTTCGAATATTGGTGGTCCTTGAAACAGTCTGTTTCTTTCCTGCTAAGCGCCCAGCTATCGATCTGCAAAACACCCTGGAGGATAGAATAGCAACTTCTGTGTCTGTCTGCATGCTCATAATTCATCCCCCTCTCTGTTTTAATCACTACCTGTATCCCCTGTTCTACTTAAACCTCATTTCCCTCTCTGTTATAATCAGTGTCTGTATCTGCTTTACCTTTGTCTAGTGGTGTTTTGTCTCCATCCACACATAACTGCTGTTATCCCTCTCAGTTCTTTGGTTCTGATTGATTACCACATATCTTTTCTTCAGTGTTTCATGCCTGTCATGTAATGTAATGTCAAAGAACACAGGGGTAGTTTGGGAAGTCTCAACAATTGATATCTTAGTTTTGTCCTGTATGCATTGTCTCCAAGAAAAATAAGCTTTGTCACATTGGATTTTCTGTTTCATGTTGTGCTCTTACAGTCTGTCGACCCATTTTCTGATGTCTCATGCAGTGAAAATGCATTTCTTGAGTATACTGATATTCCATACCTTTGATTGTGTATTCAGATTCTATTACACTTTACTTCAGCCTGTGTTTATTAAGGCAAGTTGTATACAAGCTGTTCCTCATAACCCTCCTTCCTGCTTTGTGGCTTTAACCCCTTCAGGGTCCAAGGCCCAAATCTGAAGTGGTGCCCCAGTGTCCAAGAATTTAAAAAAAAAAAAAATTGTTATTTTTTCTTATGAAATGGTAGAGAATCTTTTTGTGAAGGTAATAAAACAAAAAGTACGAAATTTGATGGAAAATTGACGAAATTATGCTCTCGCGAATTTTGATGTGTCAGCGATATTTACGAATCGGCGATTTTGCCGACTTTGACTCCCATTTTAGGCCAATTACATTATTCCAGTCAACCAAATTCTTAGCTATTTCACTAGTATTACTTCTATTCTATCGATTGAGCACAAGAAATTGCCAAGTCAACTGTTTCAACTGCAAATTAAAGTGATCGGAAATTGTTAATTTGGCCAATTTAACACAAAGTTCAAAATATTCCAATTTCAAAATAGGGTTCAGAATAAACAATGTAGGTATTCCTGGAACTAAACTAACATTTCCTCTGTTCATTAGTTACATTTTGAGGCTTTACAAATAAATTCCATTTTGATTTTTTATTCACATAATGAATTTTTATTCACACCAAAAAAATAGAAGATTTACTGTTATGCATTACTGTAATAATTGTATAAATATCATCACCATATTTGTGAATGCATATTAGACCCACCAGCTGGCGTGTATTAGACGTGTGAGGTCGTTTGTTTACTCTTGAATATCGGCAAAAATTTAACATTTCTGCTACTTTGAGCTCAGTTTCAAGCCATTTCCAGTGCTAAAACCAATCAAAATCATCTCTATTTCTGTAATATGTCTTCCATTCTATCAAATGAGACCAAGAAATCACAAATAGAACTATAAAAAACATACGAAAAAACACTGCAAAGTCTCTATTTTAATCGAAAAATCATGATTTCAGTTTTTTTCTCTCATTATACACAGCGTGCTGCAGGATCTGTTTTATGTGGTGCACACATACCACATAGATGTATTCTCTCATATCTAGGCCCAAATGTACCACTCACAGTTTATCAGAGTGAGCTGAGCTCATGACGTAGATCTACGGTTTGGACCCTGAACGTAAAGCCGTAGATCTACGGGACGGACCCTCAAAGGGTTAAACAACCTGCTAACTTTGGTTTCATCCACTTCTGCTGTTAGATGGTATTAGTTGTCACTATTTTCCTTGGGGCCGAGCTCATTGTGACTTCAGTAGCGGTCTGTGTGGGTCTTTTCTCATCCCTTTGCTTTTGCATGTCTTAAATATGAAGGTTAAAACCTATGTCAGCTCAAGAATTTTTTTGTACTCAAATATTGGCTTTTAAGTATACTCGTAACATTTATGCTGTACAGTGATATAATCCAGGTATATTTTCTTGGTTAGTAATAGTTATATGCTGCTTATCATACTGTGTATGTTTTGGGAATAAGTGTGCATGAGTTTGGAAATTATTAAAGGAAAAAACTTGAAATTTGTTACACCTAATATCTGGATCAGAATTAAATTTTTCTATTTCTAAAACAGGGGACTAACTCTCCTTAAGTCTTTAAATTTGTTTTTCATTCTAAGGAATTATAAGCATGGATTTACATCATTCAAAAACAAATACACATATTTTGTAATAATTTTGCTTTGGTACATGATAAGGCATAGGCAGCTCAGCAACATTCGAAAAAGAAAGTTTACTTAATAAAATTTGTATGTATTGTAAGATATTCAGGAACAGAACAGGAATAGCTCCTTCTTTGTCCTAATGAGTTTGCAACATGTCTATTTAGACTAATTTGATACATCTTTAAGCACTCTGATTATAATAATAATAATAATAATAATAATAATTAAGCTCAGTAAGCACACTACACACCAGACAATGTTTAATATTTTTTTTAAGTTTAAGACTCCTGTAATTTTTAGTCCTCTATTTAGTTAGATAATGTTTCTATACAGTTCATCCAAAAGTATGTAATCATTTTGTAAGTAGAATGTCAAAATTTATGATGAAAAATGGTTTGCTTAAAAATTATTTTTTTTTTTATTGAATTCTAGATTTGTTATTGTGTTTGATAAATTGTTTGATTAAACTAAAGGATAATGGGTAGACAGCAAAGCTTATAATTGCATATACATACAGGATTCAGGTAATAGTGAAGAAATGTTGTATATAAAAAAACCAATGTGGTATTCAGTACTGAGGTTTGAGTGCGTTTAAAAATTATGCAGTACTTGCCATGGAATGAAACAATATTGTTTCATTCCATGGAACAATGCTCTTCTCCAGACTGAGGGACTGACCACCTCAAAACTTTAAGGGTGATGGACTGATCACATCGTCTTCAAGTATCTTCTGCTTCTATCAACTTTTCTGTACTCGACTGAAGAAGCCTACTGTGTAGGCGAAACGTTTCGAAATAAAGATACCTAACTGTTGCATATGTGTCTTACCTAACAAATATATTCCTTCTTTGCAGGATTGACACAGTACCCATTGCTTTTGGTATTTTGTTCATCTCCATGACCCCTCATGACCATCATACATATAGGATAATCAGATACTATTAGTAAGATTAGTTTATTTAATTATTGACCTCATTTATTACAGTCCTTTAATCTCTGAATCTGAACTTCAGCATTGTCTCCTAATTTGTTTCTCCCTCCTTTGAAATTTATGTTGAACATATTTATAGATGGGGTTGTAAAAGAGGTGAATACTAGAGTGAAGTGTGGGATTAAAAGATGAAGAATCTAATACAGAGTGGGAGTTGTCAAAGTTGCTTTTTTACCAATGATGCAGTACTTTTGGGAGATTTTGAAGAGAAGTTGCAAAGGTTGGTGGATGAATTTGGAAGGGTATGTAAAAGAGAGAAATTAAAAGTGAACATAGAAAAGAGCAAGGTGATGGGGGTAACAAAACATTTAGGTAATGAATGATTGGATATTAGATAAGAGGGAGTATAAAGGAAGTGAATGTGTTCAGATATTTGGGAATAGATTTGCTGGTAGATGGTTCCATGAAAGATAAGGTGAACCATAGAATTGACAAGGGGAAAAAGATGGGTGGTGCACTGAAGCATCTATAGAGACAAGAATATTATGCATGGAGGCAAAAGGGGTAATGTATGACAGTATAATGGTACAAAACACACTTATATGGGTGTAAAGCATAGGTTTTGAATGTTGCAGTGAGGAGGAGGCTGGAGGTAGTGATGTCATGTCCGAGCACAATGTGTTGTGTGAATTTTATGTAGAAAATTCGTAGTTTGGAGATTAGGAGGTGCGGGGTTATAAAAAGTATTATCCAGAGGGCTGTGGGGGGGGGGGGGTCTTTGAGGTGGTTTGGACATTTAGAGAGGGTGGTGCAAAATAGGATGACTTTGAGTAGAAATCTTTAGTAGAGGAAAGGTGGGGTAGGGGTCACACTAGGAAAGGTTGGAGGGAGGGGGTAGAGGTTGTTTTGTATTTTGAGGGACTTGGCCATCCAACAGGCATATGGAGATGAGTGGTATTTATGACTTGACATTTTGTTGAGTGTGAGCATGGCAACATACATGAATGGATTAAGGGAAACCGGTTAGGTAAACTTTGTGTCCTTTCTTCAGTGTGTGTGTGTGTGTGTGTGTGTGTGTGTGTGTGTGTGTGTGTGTGTGTGTGTGTGTGTGTGTGTGTGTGTGTGTGTGTGTGTGTGTGTGTGCGTGTGGTGGGGGGGGGTATATGGAAATCTTCATCCTTGGATTGCTTGTGTTTAATAATATTAGTATTGAGGTTCCTTCCTATTCCTGGTGTCATGTTGGTTGATTGGTTATGTTTGTGCAATGGAAATTTTGTTGCTGATATTGTTAGGATAATTGAGTACTACTGCACTTTATTTTGTTCAGTAACTATCTTTGTGTTTTGGCCTATCATCTCTTTGTAAGGTATTATTTACAAGTATGGTGTTCTATCTTTCTTCCTTCTGGCTGTTATTCATGTTAATTATTTTTTAAATGTATTTATTTGATTCTTCAAAGCAGACCCTGGGGATCAGTTGGGATAATCAAGTTTCAAGAACAGTTAGATCTAAAGATATTTTACTGTGACGAGCGGACATGTAGTGCTCTGAGGAAAAAGGCCCCCTGACCACACTTATTTATCTGATCTTATTTATCTGATCTGAGTGGTAACTGGAAAAAATTAAGGTAACTGGTCGAATATGAAGGCTTTCTCTGACCTGGGAAGTGCAGAAACTGTTTTTAATTATTACATCCAATTTTTCTGTAACATCCACATGGTAGTATGAAATCAGCAGAATGGACCATGTTCTTACAGCCCAGCATACCTGGAGAAGGTTTCGGGGATCAACACCCCTGCGGCCCGGTCTGAGGCCAAGCTTCGTGGTGGATCAGGGTCTGATCAACATGATTAGAGCATTGGCCCAGTGGTTTTAGGATTGGCTATCCGTGGATTTCAGTCCTGCCTATTTAGCAAGTTATGTACCATATTTTCTTTGCATGTATTATGATCTTCATTCTGCTATTTACAGTTCAGATGCAGTATGAAGCAATAGTTTAGGTTGTACATTTACTATCATGTTATATTTGAACACCAATTACTTTATGGTGACTATAATGTATTATGTGCATTTTAGATTGGTTTGTCATTCCATATTTGTGTTAGCTCATTCCACTCCTGTTTAGACATTACCCATGAGTGATGCAGTTTACAAGAATCTTGGTCATCAAAATCTTCAGGATTGTGCATTATTTTATACCTATAGACATACTAAAATACAGACCTTGCTGAATCTTAAGAAGTATTGCATATTTTGAATAGTGAGCTCTTTTCCAAATTAATCAATGTGCCTTCAAAATAGATGTGATTTTTTTTCAGTTCATTGTTACAGAGTGAATAACAGAACTGTGTATATTTAGTGTGTTGTTGTATTTCGTAACTGCAAATTTCATTCCCAAGAGTTATTTTATATAACTTAAATATTGAGATTCTTACAATTTTAATTCATGTTTATACATAGTAGTATGACTTTTTTTGAAAGAACTGTATACATCTCAAAGTATGATAGAAACTTGCTTTGATGTATTACACAAATGATTTGTACATATGCAAGATACCTATAATATTTAGTTCTTCAAGGAAAGGTGCCTTGATGCTTGTGGAGGACTCTTGATTCAAGGAACTGGAGCCTCGTGCTCATTCCTCTGGTCATGCCTGATTGCCTTCAACTCCCCAAGTGCTCTGTGAGCCCTATGAATATAATAATAATAATAATTAGTGTTAATTTGTGGCCAATAATTTTTATCAGGTTAATAATTTTTTATATGGAGAATGGAGCGAAACAGAGTGACTTCAAGAGTGTATCAGTCTATAGTGGAAGGAAGGCGGGGTAGGGGTCGGCCTAGGAAAGGTTGGAGGGGGGGGGTAAAGGAGGTTTTGTGTGCGAGGGGCTTGGACTTCCAGCAGGCATGCGTGAGCGTGTTTGATAGGAGTGAATGGAGACAAATGGTTTTTAATACTTGACGTGCTGTTGGAGTGTGAGCAAAGTAACATTTATGAAGGGGTTCAGGGAAACCAGCAGGCCGGACTTGAGTCCTGGAGATGGGAAGTACAGTGCCTGCACTCTGAAGGAGGGGTGTTAATGTTGCAGTTTAAAAACTGTAGTGTAAAGCACCCTTATGGCAAGACAGTGATGAAGTGAATGATGGTGAAAGTTTTTCTTTTTCGGGCCACCCTGCCTTGGTGGGAATCGGCCAGTGTGATAATAATAAAAAAAAAATTTATATGCTGTTCATTAAAAAAATTAAATGTTATAGGTCACATTGTATGTAAATAAAAAAAAACTGCTCTCTTACTATGCTCAGCAAATTTCTGGATAACTCCACAGTTAACTTTTTTTTAATTTTTAACAAATGATGAACCTCTCTCATTGTAATTAAAAAATACAATGAAAACAGCAGGGATTTAAATGCACAAACACCACAAGGCAGTAGATTTGTTGTATCCTGGAATTTCATCCTTGCATACTAGAGTTGTACTTGTGTGTTTGTCTTCAGTATGTGGAGGACTGCTGAGACAATGATGACTCTCATGGTTGTCTCAGAGCTTCATGTGATTGTCTGTCGTAGCTTTAGTTAAACAGTACTGAAGAAAGTCACATTACTGTTCAATTTTTTTTCTGGGGAGGTGGGGGGACTGTTTTGCTCTGATGCTAAAATGTTGCAATGCAAATTTGTTCTACAGTGTCTTTTTCTTTAGTATTGTTTGTAATACATCATTTGCATCCAATGAAATACTATTAAGTGTTATATTTCAACAAAAATTTTAATGTGTTTTATTTCTAGAAATTTAAATAACCCGGATAATAATACTTCTTGGTAGTAGGTTGGTAGACAGCAACTGCCCAGGGAGGTACTACTGTCCTGCCAGGTGAGTGTAAAACGAAAGTCTGTAATTGTTTTACATGATGGTAGGATTACTGGTGTCTTTTCTCTGTCTCATAAACATGCAAGATTTCAGGTATGTCTTGCTACATCTACTTACACTTAGATCACACTACACATACATATACAAGCATATATATATATATGCATACACACCCCTCTGGGTTTTCTTCTGTTTTCTTACTAGGTCTTGTTCTTGTTTATTTCCTTCCTCTTATCTCCATGGGGAGGTGGAACGGAATTTTTCCTCCGTATGCCATGCGTATTGTAAGAGGCGACTAAAATTCCGGAGCAAGGGGGTAGTAACCCTTTCTCCTGTATAAATTACTAAATTTAAAACGAGAAACTTTTGTTTTTCTTTTTGGGCCACCCTGCCTCGGTGGGATACGGCCGGTTTGTTGAAAGAAGAATAATTCTTCACTTAGCCCTGGAATCCTCCAAAGAACAAAATACCAATAATATGAAGAATGTAATATTGTATTCTCATAAATACATATTTAAATTACTGTTGAGTATTTTTTTATACCCACGTTTACTGACATATTTATAAAGTTGTCGAAAGAAGAATTACACGTAGGAAGTGAAAGCTTTTCTTCAGAACTGAAAAGGATTTGAAGATACATCTCAGGATTGGATCCTGTGAGAGGAGCTACAAGAGATGTGTCTTGATGTAACTGAAGGGCTCTTGATCCAAAAAGTTTGTGCTACCCCTCATCGAATGTCTTTCTATTCCCTAAGGCAGTATAACCCATATGGGTCCAGTGCTCCCCACGTTAATGCTGAAATCATGTCTTAATAAATACACAGTAGTTATACATGACCCATACGAGCTTAGCGCTTCCTTGTGAACATCATAAAAAAATTAGTCATATTTGACCTACATTCAGTGGTGGACCCACATTTTTGGGGCGGTGAAGCTTGAACTGTCATGGAGTCAACCTCACAATCAGCAACGGCTAACTTACATGATACTTGAATAAAGTATAGTTATTATTTTGTATTGAATTACACTATTATAAAAAAAAAACCTCTCATACAGTAGACCCAAATTATTTTCGCAATGTGGACTAAAGTGGCTTTGGAGCCCCTCAGGGATTAGGAGCCCTGAAGCTTAAGTTTCATTAGTTTCACAGTATATCACCCCTGACCATATGCATTTAGCCCTTGTGATATTGATAATAAAAACATACGATACATAATCCCCAGACGAAGACGATAAAAAAAAAATCGCCACCTACTGTTGGTGGTGTCTACCGTTTCAAGCTTGAGATTGTTTACAAGGTTGAGGGAGGGCAGCATTAATGGAGTTTACCAGTGTAATCCTTCACCAGGCAGCTTTTTGGCATAAAACCTCCACTGTATTTCTTGGTAATGCTAATATTAGTCCAGGTGTTGAGGGAATGAAGGTGGTATATAGTGCCTTACTCCGCTCTTTGATGCTGCAGTATGTACCTGTCTAATGTACATTTATCTCTCTCCAATGTACATTAGCCTTATATATATATATATATATATATATATATATATAATATATATATATATATATATATATATATATATATATATATATATATATATATATATATATATATATAACGTTGGCCGTCTCCCACCAAGGCAGGGTGACCCAAAAAACTTTGAAAATTCGACACTTTCACCATCATTCATACATAATCACTGTCTTTGCTGAGGCACTCAGATAAGACAGTTTAGATGTCCCTCCAAGCTGCCAATATCCCAAACCCCTCCTTTAAAGTGCAGGCATTGTACTTCCCATTTCCAGTACTTAAGTCCGGCTAACTTGTTCCCCTGAGTCCTTTCACAAAATATTACCCTGCTCACACTCCAACAGCTCGTTAGGTCCCAAAAACCATTCATCTTCATTCACTCCTATGTAACACGCTCACGCACGCTTACGCTTACTGGAAGTCCAAGCCCCTCGCACACAAAACCTCCTTTACCCCCTCCCTCCAACCTTTTCAAGGACAACCCCTATCCCGCCTCTTTTCCCTACAGATTTATACGCTCTCCATGTCCTTCTACTTTGATCCATTCTCTCTAAATGACCAAACCACCTCAACCCCTCTTCAGCCCTCTGACTAATACTTTTATTAACTCCACACCTTCTCATTTCCACACTCCGAATTCTCTGCATAATATTTGCACCACACATTGCCCTTAGACAGGACATCTATATATAAAGTGACATCATTCTTACTACATATGATTAACAGTTACAAGAAATACATTATTTATATACCGGTAGTGAATCATATAATTAACCCACTTTGACCTTTGTATACAACCCTTTGGTGACCTATAGAGATCATTGTATGGAAGACCTGTCCTCGCCTCTCATGACCGATTTTGCGAAGTGGAACTTCAAACCTGGGCCAGGTTTCTGACCTGTGAGACACAGGTCAGGAATGATCTACAGGCAGGTCAAGATACCTCACTGACCTTGATCTGTTTGGGAAAGCCTGTTCACGAGAAAGCCTTTTCATTTTTTTTATTCGTCAGTATTCTCCCGGCCCGGGTCTTTTCCAGGTAGTGGTGACCCGGCCTTGGCTCCCTATCTGGGGAGTGTCTCGAGACCTAAGTCTCCCATGGGAAGAGGTACAAGTACCCCCTCATCTGTGGGACCAACTGTCCCCAGGCCTAGCCACAGTCCCCGCCCTCACGGGGCTCGTAGGGAGAAGCTAGGCCTCTGGTCTGCCATCTGCCCCGCCCCAAAGGGGCTCGTGGAGATGGCAGTCTTATGAGCTGCAGATGGTAGCAAGCTCAGGCCTTCTTCTTTTCATTACACGCCGTTAAAGAAGAGTGCAAAAATAACCCGCGCATAGAAGAAACTTACGTTTCGGTCCGACTCGGACCGAAACGTTGCCGTAAGTTTGTATTAATATAAGTAGAATTACCGACAATATGTTAAGTAAAAGGACACAAATGCAACTGATGTGACATTTTATTGTGGCAACGTTTCGCTCTTCAGGAGCTTTGTCAAGCCGCTCCTGGAGAGCGAAACGTTGCCACAATAAAAAGTCACATTAGTTGCATTTGTGTCCTTTTACTTACAATAACGTCGTAAGTTTCTTTCCCCCATATACGAGTTATTTTGTGTATTGTACCAGTCACGGTGGTGCGTCTTCAGACAAGAAGAGCTTTATCTAGAGAGGAACATTTTCCTCAGTAAAGCTCTCCCTAGAGGTAATTAAAGCTTGTCCTGCTGCAAGTGTCTGTAAAAAGGACAATTAATTACAGTTCAGGACATTAAAATGATTTTTTTTCGACACAAATGGCTTATATAGTCTTGTACTAAGCTACTGGTGGCGCACTGAACATAGGCCTCTTGACTCATGAAATCGTAATGACACGATTGCAAACAAACCATACCACGGGTGGGGCTTGAACCCGCGATCAGAGAGTCTCAAAACTCCAGACCGTCGTCTGGCCCAGTGGTTAACGAGACGGTCTGGAGTTTTGAGACTCTGATCGCGGGTTCAAACCCCACCCGTGGTATGGTTTGATAGGCCTCTTCTTTTTTCCACATCCTGTCGATATTACCATATCATATCCTCTCAGGTATCTATGTCTCTGTGGACATAATGCTATTCAACATCTACATATTTTTCCCCTCACACAAAATACCATCACTAAGCATACATTCAGAACCTAAAAAGGAATAAAAAAAAAAAACCTCAAGGCAGCGTAGTGGGTGAAAGATGAGATTCCTCTCGACCCGTCTCAGGTTCCCAGTGATGACTTTCTTGAAGAAATTCTCCCAGGCTTGGGGGAGGTCACTGAGAGGCGGAAGTGAAGTATTCGTTGGTGATTCTACCCTGCCTGGCCCTCTGTCTAACTCGCTTTATGTGTGTTTGTCATGGCAGTGTCCCTCGTCTTCCGTCATCCACACGTAATTCTTGAGGTCCAGCAAATTCCCTGTCCCAATTCTTCAGCATGGAGGGACATTAACACGGGTTTCTATTACAAATTCAGGCTCAGAAACCCCAATTTGGTCACGAAGACGCCGGATTATTAGCTGAATTTTCCACGATGACTAGTGCCCATAAATTAGAAATGGTGATGTCTTCCCGGCGTCACTCCCCCGGCTGTTCTCCACTCCCCCGGCTGTTCTCCACTCCCCCGGCTGTTCTCCACTCCGCCTCACTCGAAATTTCTCGAAGGGTCAAAGCTGCATCACATTTTAATATTCAATTATTATATAATTCAAATTTATGCTGAATTTAGGAAAATATATCAGCAGTCAACAGCAACACTGCGGGAACTTGTCCAGGGAAGTGGACGAGTATCTTCACCAGGTGCCAGATCAACCAGGCTGTGATGGATATGTAGGTCAGCTGGCTTCCAACTGCCACAGCCTGGCTGATCAGACTAGCACCAGACGAGCCTAGCCTAACGCTTCGGGTGTAGAAAAACTCTCGAAATTCATCGAAGGTATATCAAAGGTAAATGAATAATTTTAGCGACGCGCTGCTGGCTTATTCTGGCAGCAATATATATATATATATATATATATATATATATATATATATATATATATATATATATATATATATATATATATATATATATATAATATATATTGTATATTAAAGTATTCTTGTATGATAACGTACATACGAAATACAGTCTTAATGATCCTCATGTAGTCGATAGGTTTCAAACCCAGTTAACCAAGTTAGGAATTGCTTTTGTAACCTGACTCGGCTAAACTTTGAAATAGTTTACATTACATAACATCCTTTTAACTAAATTTAGGTTAGACTAGATTTACCTAGAATAGTAATGGGTATGGGTGGGAAGTGTGGGTGTGTCGGCGGTGGTGTGAGGGTGGCAGGGTGTGGGCGGGGGTGTGAGGGTGGCAGGGTGTGGACGGGGGTGTGAGGGTGGCAGGGTGTGGACGGGGGTGTGAGGGTGGCAGGGTGTGGGCGGGGTGTGAGGGTGGCAGGGTGTGGACGGGGGTGTGAGGGTGGCAGGGTGTGGGCGGGGGTGTGAGGGTGGCAGGGTGTGAGCGGGGGTGTGAGGGTGGCAGGGTGTGGACGGGGGTGTGAGGGTGGCAGGGTGTGGGCGGGGGTGTGAGGGTGGCAGGGTGTGGGCGCGAGCATGTGACAGTCTTGACACCAGATAATTAATGACCCTTGAAAAACTTGGTGTCATTAGCTTCCCCTCCCCTTCCCCCCTCCCCCCACCCACCCCCACACTTACATGCTCACTTATTCTCTCTGTCTCTCTTTGTCTCTCTCTCTCTCTCTGTCTCTCTCTCATATATTTTACAGACCTACATACATTTTCCTATCTCAAATAATTACAAAACTTGCCCTTAACAATTCTTTTTCTTTCGATATGTACGTTAACATTAAAGCCGTACACATATAAGGACCAGATTAGAAGATAGAGCCGGCTGTGAGCCAGCTGTGAGCCAGCCGTGAGCCAGCTGTGAGCCAGCCGTGAGCCAGATGCGAGCCAGGTTTCATTTGTTCAACCGACT